ACAAGAAAGCATCCTCACACTCCAGAGCATTCCTTGCTATGAGTCATTTTGCAGTTAGTGATTCATACCTTTGTGGGTTCCAGCTGGGTTCTCAGTCATTCATGTCGGGAATGGTAGCTGAGCTTGTCTGCGTGCCAAAAATTGTGCTGGGGCTGGGGACCCAGACACGAGTGAGATATTGTCCCCTTTATCCACAATTCCTGCTCCAGTCCCCGGCCCTGTCTCGCCTTTAGGAGGCCCTGGGTTTATTTATTATTAGTTGAGAAACACAACTGGCACCTACAAGATGCAAGTTCCTGCCCCTGGTGCAATGCCCAGGCTGAGGGCTTGGCAGGCACATGGGTTAAACAGAGCCACCGCTGAGGCACTGCCTCTCTCAGGCTGGCTTTACCAGGTACAGAGCCTGGCAGGGCCTCATGCCTGGGCTTTCTGCAGCAGGCCAAGCTGTGGAAGGAAGGCAGCAGACATTTGCAGGCCAGGTTTGGATGGAGGCCTGTTTTCGGTCCTGTTCTTCCAGCTGGGCCTGCTCCTGGCAGGAATGGATCGCCCTGGAGGTAGGGATGGCTGGTGGGTACCCACTGCATGAACACAGGGAGGAGAGCCAGCTGTCCAGTCACTATCCCTCTAGGTATTTAGGGTCTAGGGGTAGGAGCCCAGTCCTAAAACAGGCCTTTGTGAATGGTGACTTTGAGCAAGTACCAAACCTGCCCCACCTCGCCTTCCCCACCCAGGAGGAGGAGACTAGAGTCCCTGATTCCCTCTGGAATATGTTGAGACACCTCAGCTCACCTGCCCTGCCTCACCTCACACACTGTCAGGGCCTCATTGTCCACAGATGGAGCCCCTGAGCCCAGCCTCCATTCTAGGAGCTGGAACAACAGCCCTCTTGCAGGGCCCTATATGGCCACAAGGCGGCACCAAGGGGCACCACTGGAGCTCCTCCTGCAGATCCTTGCAACAGGACAGTCCACCCTTGCAATTAACTGCACAAGGGCCAGGATTGGCCCCTCTGCTCTGCCTCCCTCACCAAGTCCTACTACTGCCACCCAAGGGTAGGGCCTGAGGCTGTGTCCTGGGTGCACTGGGGTTACCCACTGGACACCCCCAACCTCAGTGATTCTAAATGCAGGCATGGAAACCCTACCCCTCCTGCAGCTGTCTTCCTTACTTGGCATCCAGGTATGGGAGAACCTATCCTTTCTCCAGCCCAGAAGTTGCTGGGTTCCTGTTTCCAAATCCATCCTGCTCTCACCTGGGGACAACACACAGACTGGCTGCTGTCCCTGTCCTGTGCCGCCAGAGATGGGTTTCTGGCCATGGCCATGAGAAAGTGGAGGCAGTAAAGTGGTTCTAACTGTGCTTTTCACTTTCTGCTCTGCCAGGGCCTTTATCTCTGTGTCCCTACAGCCCCTGCCACATGAAGACCCCTGTGGGTTTTCAAGTAGGCGAAAGCTGCTGTGAGAGAGCCCCAGGGAGTCCCTCCCAGGGTCACCTGTGTGTGTGTGTGTGTGTGTGTGAGGTGTGAGAGAGAGAGAGAGAGAGAGAGAGAGAGAGAGAGAGAGAGAGGGAGAGATGGGGGTAGGAGGGTTTGCACTCATAGACTTCCAGAACTTGCTCTGGGTTCAGATCAGAAATGGGCAGCTGGCTTCCACGTCTCCAGTTGCACCCCCTGGGAAGTGTCACACTTTCCCCTCCTCCATCTGCAGCTTGGGAAGGAAGGTACTGAGTTCACCTATCAGAACCACCTTCTGCACCTACCAGCCCCCAGCCGAGCCCCAGTTCTTGGGCCAAGGGAGCCCCTGCACACCTCTGTTCCTCAGGTATAGACTGGCCCCTGCTCCAGGCAGGGAAGACTGGTGAGGAGACTCATGCAAGCCCTGCCCAAGGAGCCAGTCCTGCTGGTGGGCAGGAGTCACAGCCTTCCTGCCCAGCCAATTGCTGGCTCAGGCTGCTGCCAAAGCAGGGCGCTGATGAATGGGAGAGGGCCAGTGCCCCTTGGAGTCTAGGCTTGGTGGGAACCTGCCCTCCCCCCTCCACGGTGCCTGTGCTGAGGTGCCATTGTCCAGATGCCCTTCCAGGACTTCTGACACCTCCCACCTTGACAATCTGAAAGGACTATGCCCCATCTGGAAGGTGCAGGGGTTGGGACACCCCTGACCTGGACTGCCATTCTCCCACTTCACACTCCCACTCCCATCCCCCATCCGGTTTCACAGATGGGGACAAGGGCTTCAGGACGGCCAGGAACACATCGCAGTGCGCTGGTGGCATACTGGAGACCGCACCCAAGTTCTTTTAGAAGGGAGTCCTGCTCTGACCTAAAGAGGGATTTAAGGAAGCCTGTTACCCCAGGTGGGGGCTGTCCCCAACACAGCCGCATGGGGGTGGGAAGGCAGTGATGCAGGCTGGCTGTTCCCACTGGCTCTCTCACGCGGACCCCTTCCGAAACATGTTCTGGCTGCAAAGACTGCAGGAAGGGGCTGGGATCTCCCTGCGGTCTTTAGAGCAGGTTGAGCTGAGGACGCCACTTTGGTCTGGAGAAAGGGACATGGCCCTGTTCAACCGTGAGTCTAGGTTCTTTGGGGAAACTGACGTCTAGCCCTGGTGCCCCTTCCCACCATCTGAGGATCTCCAGGATGCTGCCCAGAAGTCTCCCGAATCGGGTGGGATGGGAAGGTTCACGCTGAAGAAGGCGACCCGCCCAGGCTGCAGGGCCACAGGTGGCGGCGTGGACCAAGCCCCGAGGGGCTGGGGACGCAGGGCGGGACGCCGGGGCCAAACTCTAGCGATGCCCGGTGGAGTCAGACTGGGTCGGAAGCTGCGGGTCCCGCAGGCCTGCGCCAGCAGAGCCCCCCGCCCTCCTCCCGCCGTTTCCGCGGGGGCGGGGCTGCCCTCACCGCCGTCTCCCCCTCCCCGCACGCAGCGGGTGGGGGGCGGGAAGGGGGGGAGGGGGGCCGGACGCCGGGGATGCGCCCCTCCCCCATGCGCCCCGACCCCTCCCCGCGCCCCTTCCCCCACGCCCACCCACGCGCCCCTCCCCGCGCCCCTCCCGCTCCGGCTGGGCTGCGGCCCATCGCAGGCACTGAGCCACAGCTGGAACCCATTACGCCCCCAGCGCCTCTCGGGACGTCTCGGCTAATAAGTGACCCTCTGTAAACGTTAGGAATGAGTCAAGTTTGTGCTGCGCGCTGCTTTCCCGTTAGCGGGTGGCGCCTCCGATGCCCGGGGGAGCGGGGAGGCAGGGTCCTTCCGGCCTGGGAGGGAGCCGTGGGGTGGAGCCGGCTTGGTGTCTCTAATCCAGGGCCTGGGATGCTGCTGGTACTTCACCAGGCCTCAGTTTCTCCCTGTGCATAACTAGGGGCTTAGGGCAGACAATGGCTGGGACCCTTTCAACCCGTCTTTCCTCCTACGAAGGCAGGAGAGGCTTTGGTGGTCTTGGCACCTGGGTCCTGGCTTGGTCCTGAAGGGACAGCAGGCAGGGCCCTGCCCCTGGCCTATGGGCTGCTGTTCCCAAGAAAAAGACTATATTCTCTTCCACCCAGAGCAGGACTGAGGGTCTTCTGGGGGTAATGTGGAGAGAGAGCTTCCCCAAGACCATCCAGGGGATGGAAACACAAAGGTCCTCACTGGAAACTAGCCGCCCTTCACAGGGTTGTTGGGGGTCCGAACAGGACCTCTCCAGGTGCCGGGCTGGGCGTTAGGGTGACTCTAGCAAGGAGAAGGGTCAGTATATTGAAGGGAGTCCAGATGAAGGAGGCAGCCTGGATCCAGGGGAGCATTCAGGACAGGAATCTCGGGATTCACCTGATGGAAAGAGTGGACATGTGGGGCAGCAGGGTGCACCCAGAAAGTCTGCCCCACAATCCCAGGCCTAATGGTCAGACCAGGGGGAGTCTGAACTGGAGAGGGTCTTCAGGGAGGACTGGGAGAAGATGGGAGGAGACTGCCAGGTGGTCACCCACCAGGGCCTTAGGTGGGAGGGGAGTTCAGGGAGTCCCAGTGTAGAGGACCACAGGGAGAGGGTTCTTCCAGAACCCTGACTTGGGAGCCAGAGGAGTGTCTGGGATAAGAAAGCTGACAGGACTGTGACTGCTGCCCTGGGAGTAGATGTCATCTCCTCGGGGCCTTTGGTAAGCTTTGGTCACTGCTGAGTCTTTAACTCACTGCTTAAACTCAGATGACCTTAATGTGGCAGGGCAGGTGGCCTCTGTGGGCTGTCCTAACACCTCATCATCTTGTGTTGTCTGGCTTTCCCCTGTCTGGAAGTTTCTTGCTGGAGTGGAATAAGCCAGCCCTCAGGAACTGACAAGAAGGCCCTTGCCACAGGCCCACACCCTCCCCCAGTTACGCCTCTTCCAGCAAAATACTGCTGAGAACTCAAGACCCCCGCAAGACCCATCTCTGGGTACCCAGTGTTACAAATAGCTGGTGGGTGGTTCTTTTGCTCTATCCAGACAGAAATGTGGATAGGCAAGAAGCAGCTCCTTTAGTGTTGCAACACGAGTTCCACGGGCTCAGACCCAGAAGTTCTGAGAACTAGAGGCTTCTGGCTCCATGCTTTCAGACGCGGAGCTCTTGTGGCAGAGGTGTATTGCTCTGGGCTGAGAGTGTCAACCTCCAACATCCAGTGTTATGGTGACTTGACTCTAAACCAACCAGGGCTTAGACTCCCACAGCCTAGACTCCCGCCTTCTGCTCCTCGCAACCTCTTGTCCTCTGTAGTCTAGCTTCTCTGTGCCTTGGCTTCTTGCAGTGTCTGCCTTCAGTCACTCTCTGGAGCTGTGCCTTCCCTGCCCCATTAGTCTCAGATCTCAGAACTCTGAGTATTGGGGCCCTTACCTCACTGCCAGCAGCCAGTGACTCCAGGACTCTTCATCCACCTCCCTGTTGCCCCAGACCTTTACTGCTTTTAATACAAGCAGCCCAGCCTGCTTTACTTGTGATAAACACCACAAGTATAAACAAAAAGACTGTCGGGGACAAGCCTTTTATTGGGTCTAATGACACCAGGGTACAGCTCAGAGGAGGGTGTCCGAGGGAACCAGAAGAGAGTGGCATGCCTGCTGCTTATGCAGCTAGAAAAGGGGTATGACATGCCTGTGAGTCACTTTACTACACTAATCACAAGCTTTCTGTTGAGTCACTGGAGCAAGGTTCCCCCACCACCACCACCTGCAGGTGAATAGAGTCGAGGGAGACTTGTTTTGCCCAGAGTGAAGTTGTCCAAAACCACAGTGGGTGCAGGTTATCTGAAAAGGTTGTGGCTGGAGCAAGGCCTCCAGAAGCAGGCATTGTGGCTGCTCCTTGCAGGTGGAGTGTAGCTTCTTAAGGTGTCTTCAAAGCAGCTGGACTGCCATGATTGACAGCCCAGTGGGTCACCAAGAAAAGGGTGGCTCGGTTGACAGCATCTGGCTCAAGGCAGCCAGGCACAAGGGAAGTCTGACAGCTGTCAATCAAAAGGTCGAAGGAAAGTGAGCATTCCAGAGTGCTTGCAGTAAAGACCTACCATTGACGTTAGCATTCTTCACGATATCCAACAAGGCTCAACTCCTAGCCAAATTCTCTTAGGGAGAGTTGGGGCCCTTTGATCTGTCTCATGTGAATCCTGGGATTTTGTGCTCACATTGGGCCTGTATGGGCCTCTTCTCTAGCAGCTTAACTGTTCAGGAACTTCCAGGAAGGAGGCCTACTCTCTGCCTGTCCACAGCAGCCCTTAAGGGTAGTCTGAGAGAAAGACATCCCAGACTTGTTCCCAGAACCTGCACAGTGGGTACAGAGGACTCTGCTGGCACTCCTGGCCCTCAGATCCCACATCCATGTGATCCAGGACCTTCCCTGACTCCCCCAGGGCCCAGCACATCCCTTCTGATGGATGGGGCCATCAGAAAGGGAGGTAATCAGGGCCAGGCAGGGTGGTACATGTTTGTAATCCCAGCTACTCAGGAGGCAGAGATCAGGAGGAGCACAGTCAAGGCCAACCAGAGCAAAAAGTTAGTGAGACCCTACCTCAACAAACGAGCTGGGCATGGTGGTTTGTGCCTGTCATCCAGCTACATGGGACACATAGGTAAGAGGACTGTAGTCCCAGGCTGACCCTGGGGAAAAATATGAGAACTTATCTGAAAAATAACTAAAGCATAAAAGGGCTGGCAGTATGGCTCAGGTGGTAGAGCACCTGCCTAGCAAGTGCAAAGCCGTGAGTTCAAACCCCAGTACCACCAAAAACGGGAAGAGACTGCTCAGTCTTTCTACTTGTAGTCAGCCCTTCATCACACCAGGCCTGTGACTACGAGTGGGGTGTAGGTACTTCTCCATTCCCCACTGAGAAGACAAGCTGTGGGCCCACCTGCCCCCCATGGGCCAGGACAGAAGTCAAGCAAAGGCACCAGCTCCTGCATCCCATAGAGGATGGCGTGATGACTTGGCCCAGCACTCAGGCCCAGCTTACCCAGAGACAAGCTGGTGCTGACATCAGCTAGAAGTTTCCCCAGACACATCCCTTCTCCCCAGTTCCTTGTCACTATCCAGAGCAGTGCCAGGAGCAGGCGCAATCCCATTTTACAGCTGGGGAAACTAAGGCACGTACCTTGGGCGGCTAACCTAGCCTCACCCCGTCCTCTCCAGGGCACTTTGCTGCCTTGGGGTGACCTTGTAGTGGCCTCTACTGACTTTGGTGGGCTCATATGGGGTACCTGGCAGCTGTCCAGGACCTGCCAACACCAGGGGCCTTGGGGTGTTTTTCAGAGGTTGGAGGACACCATCCTGGGCCCTAAGGCCACCAGGGAAGATCGGGCACTGACTGTGCACGGGGAAGGCCCACAGGCTTCGCCCACTCCCGTGCCTGCCCGAATCCGTGAGATTGTAGCCAGCAGCCTGGGCGAGGAGCATCTCCAAGGTGAGGAAGCCAGGGGTGTTGCACAGGCACCATGGAGCCTCAGAGCAGCAAACTGTGGTCTAGCGTGGGAGCCACATCACCTGTTTCTGTCCAGCAGTCTGGGCCCCTTCTAGCCTGCTGTCTTTCCATCCACACCTCCCACAGAGTCATCTTCAGGAGGTGGGGTGGACACCCACCAGGTGCTCAGTACTGGAGCAGGGAGATGACCTCTTTGTGACACATTTGTGACACCAGCACCTTAATTTCATCTGTCCTCTTGTTTCACTAAATGAAAATCCTAAAGGTTAACACTCAGAAAGCCCTAACCACCCCATCATGCCCTGAGCTTTGCCTACACCCCTCACACAGCCCCTGGCACACAGCCTCCTACTTGTCACACTGCAGTTGAGGAGCAGGCACCCAGGGTCTGGTCCCTGCACTGAGGCCACATGGCAGTTAGGCTGCCCAGCCCTGATGTGAGCTTGTGACTCCCTCATGCACTGCCCTCCTGCATGTGTAACGAGGGTCTGTCCGTTCCGTCTTCTAAAGGATGCAGGCGGCCCACTGTGTGTGGCAAGGACAGACAAATGCCATTGTGTATTTAGAAGAGCAGTTTCTTACTTGAGGATGAGGTCCTGCAATCTGAGGCAGTCCGTCTCACTGTGGCACACTCACGATGGGTGGCACCCAGCATCCAGGCTGCCTCCCACACCTTTAATTACTTGGTTAGGACTTGGCCTGGGCATGAGTCTGAGAGGGAGCTAAAGATGTGGACAAAAGGCAAGGAGGTGGCAGGGCGCCTGACGACAGGAGAGAAAAAGATGGGAACGTATGGGGTGGTATGGACAGGCCCTGGCCTAGCCCCACCGGCTGACCTGTATGCTGTGCTTGCAGGAGTGCAGGAGCCACCAGCCACCACAACCCACGTGCAGGAGGAAAGTGAGCTCTTACAGGAGGAGCTGGCCCGGCTGGAGGACCTGCTGGCCCAGGCAGGCGTTGAGCGGGAGGAGCTGGCCAGCAGGTACCGCATGGTCAGTGAGCGGGTGAGTGTGCAGTTGGTGCCCGGCAGGCCAGCAGGCTCAGCCTGGCCCTCGTGAGGGATCACTCACTGGGACTGGCAGGTCATACCTGTGGGGCCATCAGAAAGTCTCAGGACCCAGGAGGACAACATATCAGCCATGGCACATCTGCACCCTGGGCAGCAGATGGGGAAACTGAGGCCAAAGGTGAGCAAGCAAAGCAGGACTGGTGCTCCCCAAAGCGCATGTCTCTCACCTGATCCAGGAGAGTTGGTCTGGTCAGTCTTGACCCTTTGGTTCCAGTGCCTCACCCAGCGTCAGCACAAAACTTGCTCCTGAAGAGAGGAAGAAGCCAGAGAAGGAGTGGTCCCACCCCGCTAGACAGAGCCTGCAGGAAAATGGCTCTGCCCTGGCCCCAGCCCTCCCTACTACCTGGCTGAATGGCCAGGCCTCTCAGACCTCAGGGGACAGGAGGAGTGAGGGGCTGGGGCTCAGTGCCCTCCAGGTGAGCTGCAGCCACAGTGAGGGATTATTCAGTGATACTCTGGGCTGGGCCTTTCCGGCCTAGGCAGGGAGACTGAGGCAGAAAGGTGAAGATTCATGCTAGGCGAAATCCTCTTTCCTGTGCCAGCCACTCTGAGGTATGAGGACCTCTGAGGGAGAACCAGAACTACGTGTGGCACAGGTGCAGGGTGAGGAGGTCACACTGTAGGTGGCTCAGCACCCCGGTGCCTGCCTCCCTGCCACCCGCCCCCCCTCCATCCTTGTCCATGCTTTTCTCTGAGCCCTGTCTGAGCTCTCCTTGGCAGGATGGGAAGAGACTCAGTTGGACCAGTGCTCACTCAGGCCGCACCACCATGGCTGGGCTCAAACCTGAACCAGATCTGCATTTTCTCTAGCCTGTGACCAGGGACCCACCCAAAATGTTTGTGGGCCTGGCAGACCTGGCCTACTTGAGCTATCCCAGAAGGTTTCCCAATACAAGCGGCCACAGCAGCTGTGGGTCACCCTCCCCTTACCTCCCCCTTTCATCATGCTGACCCCAGTTGGGAAACGCCTGTTCCCTCACCCTGGAGCTCCCCAGGGTAGGATGATGAGGAAGCCCTTATTCTGATCCAAGTCACGAAGGTCTGTGACCCCAGCCTGCCTGCTCTCCTGTGAGCTCCAGGCAGAGGTGGGCAGGCCTGGGGGCGGGGCTTCTTCCTAGCACAGGGCGGGAGATGTTGGGAACAGGCCAGAAGGAATAGAAGCCACAAAAGTTGCATGAGTCAGATCTGAACTCACAGTCTTACCAGGTGTGGGTGCCAGGAGCCCCCTCTTCACCCTGTTACCTTCAAGCACACAGGTGGGGGTCTTGGTAGCCTGCATGCCCCATTGTGGTTGTCTCCTTCCCTGACGACACTACAACCCCACTACAATTGGGGCCCTCACATCCTCTTTCTTATCCTGCTGGTGGCCTGTCTATACCCTGTGACTCCCTGGGCCCTGGGTTCAGGTCCCTTCCCCCAGTAATGGCTGTGTGGCCCTGGGCAATAGGCCTGGGTGTGACTTCTTAACTCATCCTGGGCCCAGATCTCCCTGTCACCCTAGGGCAGTGCCATGTTTGGCAGCCTGGTGGCTTGGGGACTATGTCAGATGGGTGTGTTCCCACCCTGTGTGGGTTCCTGTACTCTCTCCACCTAGGATGAAGGTGTAGCCTAGGAGGGGGTCCAGGCTGGAGGGAGCGCTAAGCTCATGTATCCTGGAAGGGGTGGCTCCAGAGCTTTCTTTGCCACCCTCCACCCTTCCCCTATGGGGCTGAAGGGAGATCTGAGGGCCCCTCCCCCAGCCCTATACCACCACCCAGCTAGCTAGCTGGCCAGGCCTGTCACGCCGTCTGGAGCATCAGGACCCTATCTGTTGGTGAAGGCCTCCAGAGCTCTACCTTCTCCTGGTCCTGCCTCATCCACACTATTCGCAGGCCCAAAGAGATCAGTGTATCAGCTCAGCCAGCCAGCTGGCTTCCCTTCCCCTCTCCTCTGTGGGCCACAGGGACCAGGCACAGGGATAAGGTGTGGACAGCCAGCTGTCTGGCTCAAATCCAACCTGACCCAGCTCTAACCCCAGCCCCTGCTGTGGGCCTGGGAGGCCCTCTGTCCTGCCCCTGCCCAAAGTGGGCTTTGTGCCAGAGATCCCCACCCAGTGGACTCCCAGAGCCCAAGACCAGGAGGGCTGCCGTTTTTCTCCAGCTGCAGGCCAGGCTGCAGACCACCGAGGCTCGGCTGCGGAGATCAGAGCTGGAGCACAGTGTGAACCTGGAGGAGGTTCTTGGCCGCTTGGAGGCCTCAGAGCAAAGGTGAGGCTGGTGGGCAGCCTGGGAGCATGGCCATGGCTCCAGAGGCTACAGACCTCACCATGCCTTATAGCTATTGGCCAGCTCTTCCAGAAGTGGTTCTGAGTTACCTTTGCCTGTGCGAGTTGGCACAGGGAAGGGGACCAGGGAGGAGCTTGGAAGGAGGGGCAGGCATTGCTGAGGCCACCGCTGCTCTCTCTCTTCTCGCATGGGACCCTCCGTCTCCCTCAATTTGATGTCCCTCAGGGTCAGGGCCGAGTGAGAAAGGAGTGAAAGATCAGACCTGGTTTCTCTGAGGGCTGCTGTGCAGCCTGCGTGGCAGATTGCACCCCACCCCATGTCACAAGCCAGGAGACTGCACAGGTGAAAGCTGAGGGCTTTCACTGCCACAGAGTGAGCAGGGCTCTGCTGGCCTCCCAAATGGCAGCCTCCCCATGCTCCACTGTCAGCCTCAATACAGGAGGAAAGGAAGAGAGAGACCCCACCCGCAAGTGAGAGCTGGCGTCAGAGCAGCCTCCAGTGTCCCCTGCCAACACTCCTCACCACACGCTCTCACGACCTGGAAAAGGGGGGGTGTCCATATCATGCCCTGGCTGACTAAGGAGGTTTTGTCCTCCCTCCTCCAAGGACATGGGGGCTTGGGCCTGTGGGCGACCTCCCCAGGCACAGAACTGCTGTAGGGGCTCCTTGGTCCCATCCTCCTGAGGGTGCCTCCCCAGGACCCTGATGCCTGCTCAGGCTGGTGTCCGTGCCGTTACTTACTGCTAACAGGTTGCCCAAACAGCCATAGCCCCAGTTGGCCCAGGCAACTCTGGGCTACCCTTTTCTGGCTTTCCTTAACACTCGAACCCCGGCTCCAGCCCTTTTGGCGTTGAGTCTTTCTGGTTTCAGCAGGCTCATGCTGGAAAGCATGTACCACACCCCAGCACCCCAGAACCCCACTTTTAGTCCAGCACCATAGTCATTCCTAAGCCAGCATCCCCAGTGCTAACCCAGCCTTAACCCTGTGTCCCAGCACTAAGCCAGCCTCCCATCACTAACACGGCACCCCAAAAGTAACCTTGGCTCTCTTGTTAGTAGCCTCCGACCCTAAGCCATAGCGTCAGCACCCCAGCAGTCTCCCCAGAACTGCAGGCCCAAGCCTTTGGCTAGGTTCCAGAAGGGCAAGTCTTTCTGCAGGGTAGCTGGAGGGCTGGGTAGGTCCCTAGGCTCTGCAGGCTCCCACACCTGGGGAACACTGTTTGTGGACCACTTCCCGTGGATTGATTCATCCTGGGGAATCTGGAAAAGGCAGAAAGTGCTGAGAAGCAGTTTTTTAAAGTTTTGAGAGAAAACAATAGCCCAAGTGGAGGCTGGTGCCCAGGAGCATGGCTGCTGACCAGCTATGTCCTTGCAGTCCCCCTGAGAGCCTGGCTCTCAGAGGGGGCCCAGCCTATCCTATGGGGGGCAAGGGTCCCCACAATGCTGGAGAGGCTGGTAGCTCCTCCCACTGAGCCTCTGATCCCCTCAAAGCTCTTGTTCCTCTTGGGATAGAGGAGTGACCAGGGTTGTGGAAGAGCACAGGAGAGTGAGGAGGGAAAGCAGGAGTCTCAGGAAGGAGGGGGGCTGACCTGTGGGAGAGCCTCCCTCTTGTTCCGTGTGAGGCCCAGTGCTGCTTGGAGGCAGAGCTGGGGGCTGTGCACCTGAGCTGGGCTCCAGGGATTAAGAAGTCCATTCAAGCCCCTTGATTTTGGGGCCTAGGACTCCGAGTGCCCCTCCAGGGAGAAGCCATCCCCACCACATACAACTTGTGGGTTCTGTCCATCAGGAGCACGGGCCTTTCCCAGGTGAACACCCTCCTGCGAGAACAGCTGGAGCACATGAAGAAGGCCAATGACACACTGACCCAGGAGTTGGCCAGGACGACGGGCAGCATGTTCCAACTGCAGAGAGAGCTGGAGCTGAGGGAGGCACAACACTGGGCAGAGAGAGAGGTGTCCCCCCAACCCCATTCCTGCTGTCACTAATGTAGTGGTGACTGCTTGCTTTGATGCCTGTGGCTGATGATGGTGGGTGGGCAGCAGGGACCAGGAGAGGGTAGGCCAGCTTCATGGGGTCCCTCCTGGAAATGAGGCCTCACCCTCCATTCGGCAGAAGTCTGTGTCATGAAGAACGCTTTGTCTCCTCTCTCCTTGAGGGAAAGAGGACAAGACCCTAAGAATGAGGGTGCAGGGCCAGGTCCCAGCTCTAGTGTGAACTACTCTCTTCCTGCAGGCCTGGCGGCAGAGAGCTACCCTCAAAGGACCTGGGACTCTTGGTGCCTGGACCAGGGCCACCAGGGGCCTTACAGCCTTGCCCACTAGCAAGTTAGGGTCAGGATATAGTGCTCCAGCCATCAGGCCCTGCAGGAGGGATACCTCAAGGTGCAGTGCTCTGTCACTGGATGTGGGCCCTTCTAAGAAGGGGTGACCTTGGTGAGGTGACTTTCTGCAGTCCTTGAAAGGGCTGAGGTGTCCCCACCAGCCCTCCATCATAGAGGACTAGACATACAGCCCAGAATCCACTGCATGTACCATTGACAAGATTTCTCCCCTGAAGCCACCTGGAAGATGCGCTGCCTCAGGTGGAGATGAAAGCCTGAAGTGGACACCTTGCCGGAGCCTCAAGTTGGCCTCCCACAGATGTGCCCTCAAACAAACACATCTCAACATCTCAAAGAGGCCAGCACTCTCTTTCCCATATGAGGTCAGGCAGAAATGGCAGTCACGGGGTCACCCTGGGGCCACTGCCAAAGCCCCATACTTGTCGTTCCTGCCAGCATCTTCAGCAACGCTCCTGCCATTCCCTGGGTTAGGAAAGGAGGGTATCAGATGAGCCACCTAACGCATGAGGGGCCACACTGCCTCAAAGGGTGTCACCAAGAGAGCCATTGTGTCATCCAGGGAGATCTCTGATGGCAGAACCTGAGCGTGAGGTGGCTGAAACAGATCACACCCTGTTGCCCAGTCCACATCTTGCAGCTGGGCTGGTCCCATGGTAAACTCAGGAGTGGTTTTCACCAGAACAAATGCCCTGGAAGGAGAGTCTGAACTGAACATGGCATTCGCTTACCAGGGTCCCCATCTCCTCTGTCCCTGGAGGTTTTTCTCCCTGGCTGGCAGCGCTTGCTCTCAGCCCTGCGAAGGGTTTTTCCTCTGTCTCCTGGCTTCCGGACAAACTGCCTCCATGAACTCCGATGGCACACAGAGGCCATAGCCTTCTGGTTTTGGCTGCTTCTATGGTCTCAGCTCCGGCTTTGGTGTGCTGGTGCTTTTCTGTGATGCATCTGTGTGTGGTTTCTTTTGGTTTATCCTGCTCAACCAGCTTCTGAGGTTCTCGTTATATTTGCAAAGGAAGCATTAATTCTTTAAATATCACCTGAGTTCCTCATCTGTCTCCTCACTTAACTTCAGCGAGGCATCTGTGAGCCTTTCTTATACCATCTTGTTTGGTTTTAACCATTCAGAGTTGCTTTCCTTTTATCACCCTGGGTGATGCTAGATAATTTCTTCAAACCTACCTTTCTACTCACCAATGTTCTCTTCTGGAATCTGATCTCTCTTAAATCTGCCCACTTGGCTTAAATTCTAGATACTGTATTTTTCATCTTTAGGAGAGTTGGCTGATTCTTTTCCAAATATCTTACTCTCGTCTCACATTTCCAAGCCTCTCACTTACTGGTTGGTGCACGCTGAAAGCAGTTTTCTTGTGGTCTGTGTCTCATGCTGCAAAGTCTGCCATCTTCTGAGGTCTGATTCAGTTGTTTCTGCCGGCTCCTGATCATGGTGTTCTGCCTTCTTGTGCCTTTGGTGATTTTTTTTTTTTAATTGAGAGCTGCTTATTTTCTGCAGAACTTTGTGAAAATTCTTTGAAACATGGGGTGAAACAATTTTCTTTTTTCTTTTTCTTTTTCTTTTTTTGCTGTACTGGGGCTTGAACTCAGGGCCTACACCTTGAGCCACTCCACTAGCCCTTTTTTGTGGTGGGTTTTTTTGAAATAGGGTCTCATGAATTATTTGCCTGAGCTGACTTTGAACGGCAATCCTCCTGATCTCTGCCCCCTGAGTAGCTAGGATTACAGGCATGAGCCACCAGCACCCGGCCAGAAAGGATTTTCATTTGCTTCTGATGGGTGCCTTGAGGCTCCAACAGCCTTCAAGCCACATTGAAGTCACTTTTCACCTTAAGTGTCTTTTAAAACACCAGGTAATGTGCATTCAGGCTGTACCTATGTGAGGTCTAACTTGTGGCTCCAAATCCATTGGGAAATTTTTTCCTGTGTTCAATTCCAACACACTAGACAAGCAGTCTTCTCCTGCAAGACGTGCTTGTGTGCATGAGTGTACTTCATGTGATGTGTGTATGGCGTGTCTGTGCATGTGTGAGCATGTGAGAAAGTATGTTGTGTGTGCAAGCTCCCCTCCAGCCCCCTGGAGCTGACTCCACCTAGAAGAGTGGCAGGGGATGGGGAGAGCCCTGACCTGAAGTGGACACAGGCCTCTTGCTCCTCAGACCCAGCGGATGAGCCTGAGGGAGCCCCGGATCTTCCTCTTGCTGTGGAGACAAGCCACAGCCCTACAAGCACACCTGGCAGAGCTGCGGGCAGTCACTGAGAGGTGAGCACCAGAGCCCATGTGAACAGTGTCTGAGTCATTGGGACGAGGCCCTTCCCACAGGGGCACAGCGCTGGGGCTGGCCTGTGGGAGGTGGCCAGTGAGGGAGGACAAATGGGTGGAGTGGGAGAGGGATGTGGGGCGATGCGCATAACACTGGAGCATGCTGTGACATGGGCACCCACCTGCACGACGCTTCAAGCCCTTTCTGGGCGCCTCTTGCCAGTCTGTCTTGGACCCTGCCCAGTAGCAAGTGAGGTGCATAGCCTCCATTCACACACAAAGACAGAGGCTCGAAGGCCTGTATCTGGTTCAAGCCCAGCTCCTGCTCACCCATGCCCTACTATGTTCCTGTCATTCTGTGACATAGTGGGGGCTTCTCCTGAGGACGACCTGAGCAGATGTGACCTAATCCCCCCCTCTTCCAGCCTGGCTTGGAGACTCCTGAGCCCCCCACCAGGTGCTGGGGCTCAGCAATAATGCTGCTCCTTGTCTCTCAGGGGTCTTGCCGACATGCGAGCAGACACTGGCAGGACCGCCCGGCACCTGCACACAGCCTGCCTGAACCTCGCCACCAACCTGCAGCTGGCAGCCAACAGCACAGCCTGCAACCTGGAGAAGCGTCTTCGGGAACAGACTGGGGAGTTGCTACGGCTGCAGGGCCACTGGGATGCCGAAAAGGTGGCACTGAAGGCCAGGTGGGCCATGGCACAGGGGTGCACCCATGCCCCGTGCAGTCCAAGAACAGCCGCAGTTTCCCAGGTGCCTCCACATCACTTCTGTGCAGTGTTATGGTCCTGATTTTCGCTCAGCATCCTGACGTGAGGCTGCAGAGCTGAGCTGAGGTCAGACTGTGGGCCTTGAATGCTGAGCTCAGGATCGGTGCTTCTCTCCCAAGAGAGCAGGAGCCATGGAAGGCTCTATTGCAGGAAAGGTCTAAGATCAGGCCAGAAGCTGAGACCTACTCAGAGACATGGCCCTGGCAGCACAGGAAGGCCACACCACAGGGGTCAGAACAGAGCTACGGCATTCTCAGGGGGCCTCCTCCCTATCACACCCCTACTTCTCCCCAGACTCTCAGAGCAGACGCTGCTAGTGGAGAGACTCACAGAAGAAAACGAGCAGAGGGAAAGGACCATCACATCCCTCAAAATGGGCATCCAGAAACAGGTTTGCGGGGCTGGAGGGGGAGATTAACCAGTGCGTGGCATCTGTGCACCTGGCTGAGTCTCTGCCTACAGGAAACCCGGCACAGTGGAGGCCAGCTGGCAGTGGATGACCTGGGGGATGAGGTCACATCCTTGCGGCGCGTTCTGACCAGCATCACAGAGGTGTGGCCCCACCCTGCATCTATCCCACAGTACAGGCCGAGATGACCTGCAGGGACCATGGTTCCAACTGGCCCTGGAGATACTCTGGAATGTGCCCATTTAGTTATGGCCAGCACATTCTTCCCCTCTGTCCTTTTCTCTGCTCCCTGAAGGTGGCCCAGGCAGACCTCAAGTCCCCAGAGCTGGCGTGGAGCAGCAGCACTGAAGACAAGGAGACACAGAACCAACTAAGGAGCTCCCCACGTGCCATATCCCCACCCTGGGGGGCGTCCCTGTCCAGGGCCCTCTCCCCAGCCAGCCTGGATCCTGCTCTGTGGGTTGTGCAGGCAGCCATTGACAGGCGGCGACAACGGGAACAGGTAGGTAGCCACAGCCCACTGGCACCAGAGATAAAGCTTTGCCCCATATCTTGCCCAGCTGAGCTACTTGCCAGTCTTGCCTCTGAGCCCCACAGTCCTGGGAGGGGGCTCTGGTCTTAGGTCCTATCTGGGGGCATAGAGGAAACCTGGCTGACTTCCAGGACTCACAGTGCACCTCACCTGGCAGGAGCTGTACCTGAAGTTGGAGGCCTCCCAGTTGGCAGTGACTGGGCTCCAGAAGCAACTATCTGAGTGTCGACAGGAGCTGCAGGCCTCCCAGAGGCTACTACAGGACCGGACACAAGAGCAGGAGGACCTCCTGGGCCAGCTGGAGGCCCAGAAGCAGGAGACATGGCACTGCCAGGCATCCACCAAGCTCTTGGGAAGGTGACAGAGGCAGCAGAGTCTGGGAAGGAGAGAGAAGGGGCAGGGCTGGGCCTGGGCTGGATCCCGTGTCCCCTTGCCTCCTCCCTGTGCTCTGCCTGCCCTGGACTCCCCTTCCGGAAGCCGAGATGCCTTTCGTGAGCCCAACGCACAGTCAAGCTCATTACTTCGTTGTACCAACTGCCAGCTCTCCCATCTGCCTGGCTCCAAGACTCCCTCTGGGTGATCCCTTCCTACCTCTCCCAGGGTCTTACCCATCCTCAACAACCGTCGCTAGAACTTCAGATCCAACTCCCTCCCGTACATCCTGGGGGTTCTGTGGTCCCTGTGCAGCACCTCAGGATACTTCTGCTCCCGTCTTCCCACCTCCAGAGCTACTGGGAATGAGGGTGTGTGGAGAATCCTTCAGGGGAGCTAGGTGTGGGCCATGGGCCAGGAAGGCTTCCTGCAGAAGGCAGCCCAGCCACAAGGAGAAGAGACATCCTCTCTCCCCAGCTTGCCCTCGCTCCTAGGAGGGGTGCACACCATGCACCCCTCATAGTGGCTCCTCTGAGCAACCTGTGAGTATGCTCAGTGCTGGGGCAGGAGGAATGAGTGTAATTCAGTCCCTGTGCTGCCCTGGAGAGGCACAGGGGCAGGTGGACACGGTGCTGCAAGCAGGTTGGTTCAGCCTTGCACAGAGGCCCAGGCACAGCTGTGGAGGCTCCTGGAGGAAAGAAAACCTGGAGGGCAAAGGAGCCTTCCCTGAGGGAGCACGGAATGGACAGGGGAGTGTGGAATCATACCGTGTGCAGGCTCCACAGGGAGTCCCACACGAGCCAGGCAGGCAGGGCCATGTCACAGAGGGAGGGATGCCCACCATGCCCAGAAGCAGAGTGCAGAGGGAGCCATGGGGGACTGATAAGGAATGGTGGGCAGGCCTGAGTGCACTCACGAAACGTTTGGGAAATGGGGTCTCAGATCTGGGACACTGAGGACAGGGTGAGAGGGGGAGCAGCTGAGATTCAGAGTCCTTTGATGAGTAAAATGGCTCAGATGGCTTTGTACAGGGTTTGTGGACTTCAGGGGTTCTAGACCAGATCTGAGCTTGGGTGGACATTGGCTGGGGAGGTGTCTCTTCCTCCAGCAGAGGTCTTCAAGGACTGGCTGAGTATGGCCCAGGTGTCAGAGAGCTAATCACATGGGGTGCACAGTGAGCAAGGCCCTGAGCTCACATGTGATCTGAGAGAGCAGGTCAAACCCGACAATGGCCACCTCATCTCGGCCAGCCAGCTGGAGCCAGAAGCTGTTGCTCACCACCTCAGCTCTTCCCCAACCCTTCCTTTGCCTCCCTGAGCTCCCTCTCCCTCTACCCTGCCCCTGTGGACCATTCTCCTGGGCACACAGTCCACCTTGATTGTGCCTGAGCAGCACCTGTGCCCCCACCCTTCACATGTCTTGGGGCTCCAACCTCTGTCCCTGCATCCAGGGAGAAGGTGGCCCTGGGGACAGCAGCAGAGGAGCTAAGAGCAAAGGCAGACATCTGGGATGCAGAGAAGCAAAGGCTGGAGGCAGCGAATGCCGAGCTGTGGAGAAGTCTCCTGCTGCGGGAGGAGCAGAAAGTGGAGCTGGTGCAGCAGGGTGCGAGGAGTCAGCGTGAGCTGGAGGCCAGGTGGGCTTCAGAGGGGTCACTCAGGCTGGGAGACCTGCTCTGCCCCCACAGGTGGGGTCCAAAGAGCCAGAGGGGGTAAAGTGATGTCCAGCTCCTCCCAGGCCAGACCTCATCCCCACCCCGACTCCTATGCCTGCATCATCCCAGTGCCTGGCCTCTGTGCACATGGACCACACTGTGGGCTCAGCAGAGGAGCTAGCTGCTCTCCCCATCATATATGCATACTGCACACAGGCATGTGGTCTGACCCCCCTCGAAGAGCTCCATGCTCCATTTGGGATTTCTGGGCGTGGAGGGGTTTGCTGGTGGCTTCCCTCCCCACAGGTCTTATGGGACAGCCCCAGCACAACCTGAGGGGCCCTCACGCCCTCTGCCTTCTGGCCTCGGCCTCAGCCAGGGGCGCCTGGAGCAGCTGGAGGAGAAGGTGTCTGGGCTGAGGAAGCAGCTGGTGAAGGCCCGGGAGGCACTGAACACCGCACAGCTGCAGAGGGACGTGGTGGAGAGTGAGAGAGAGAGCTTATGTGGTGCCCTGGCCCGGGTACGCCCTGTGCCCCTCTGTGCCCAGTCCACCAGAGCCTTGCCTCCCACACCCTTGCTCCTTGCCTGCCTGGGTTCCCAGAATCACAGTCCAGTGGGTACTGGTTTCACCCCTGACCACTTGCTGTCCTCAACAAATGGATCTTAGGGTCCCTCCCTGGGCCCCTGGTCACTGCCTGTGACTGAAGTCTTGGTTCTGGTAGGGGGATCCAAAAGCCTCTTCCTGGAGCCCCCAAGTGACTGCTGTCCCCCCTCCAGGCTGAGTCCAGCAACTCTGATCTGGAGCTGTTGGTAACACGACTAAAGTCAGAGGGGCAGGAGCAGCGGGACACCCTGGCCACAATGGCTGCCCTGATGGAAGGGCTGGCCCAGGACAAAGGCACCTTGAATCACCTGGTGCTCCAGGTGAAGCAAGGACCTGGGGAGGGGGAAACGCACTTTGTCTAGAGCCTCAGTTTCCCCAGGGTGGCTATGAGATTCCTTCCCACCCTTCCTGTCATGCATCACCTTGGATCTTTTCCTCTGTAGGACTGAGGCCACCCTCCCTGAGAGCAGGTGTTGGGAGAATCTGACCAACAGTCCTAGCCAGGACTGAAGGAGGGGAGGCAGTGGCCCTGTCTTAGGCCCGGGAGGGGGCCTGGCTCAGGGGGCCTAGGATGTGTAGGACATGGGTTGAACACAACCCCTTCCCTCCCGCCTGGCAGCTGGAGCAGGAACGGGACCGACTGCGGGAGCAACAGAAGGTGGTAGAACAAGAGCGGGCAGGTGCCAGGGAGCAGCTGGCACAGGCAGAGCAGCAGCTGGAGCGCATGGGGGCCAAGCAGAGGAGCCTGAAGGAGGCCTGTGGACACCTAGAGCAGCGGCAGGAGCGGCTGGAGGGGCAGGCGGCTCTGCTCAGGCGTGAGAAGGCTCAGCTTCAGCAGCAGGTGGGCCAGGTGAGACAGGGCTTGTGGGCAGACGACACAGCCAGACCCATTGCTAGCTGTGCCTTTGAAGCCAGCAGCATCAGGATGGAGGCAACAGGACAGGCCCTTCTAACTACAGTGAAATTTGTAGTGCAAATTTGGCCGTGCAAATCCGATTCCCTGTGGATGCAGGGTGGGAGGAGAAGGCAAAAGATCAAGGTCCTGCCCTCATGCAGGATCCCAGGCCTCAGCTCCCTGGCTTGGGTCTGCACAGCCGTTCACACATGCATTTGTGCCTTTGTCCCTCTTGTTGAGGAGCAGCCACTCTGTGCAGAATGAATCTGAAATGGTTTTGGTCTTTTGGAAACCCTGTCCCTGCTAGGTCCCGCTTGGCCTGTCCCATTTGGGACAGCACAAACCTCTTTCCGTTTTCAGTCTTCTGGTCATCCCTCTCCTTTTTTGTTGAAGTAGCATTGGTGTGCAGTAAGTCGGTGTGCAGGCTGGTGTGCCTGATAACTGCAGGCACAGACCATCACAGTCAAGGCAGAGAACACTTCGCCAGCCCAGCAGGTTCTTCATACCCCTTCCCTCATCACTGCCCAAATGCCCTATTCTCGGCGCCTCTGTTCCCACGTGTGGCACCTGCACGGGCAGTGTGGACTTATTTGTGCCAGCTACTTTCTCTCAAGAGTCTTTGAGAGTCATCTGTGATTAAGTGTATGCCCACTTGTATTTTAGGGCACAGCTATATCCCATAGTGAGAATAAACCAGTTGATTCCTCATTCACCTGTTGCTGGACACCTGGGTTGTTTCTGGCTTGGGGCTATAATAGACAAAACAGGTAAGAAACTTCATTCTTCTTGAGCAAGTACGTAGGAGTGAAGTTATGGAGTCACTGTGTAGGAGTGTGGTAAGTTTGTAAGTGCCAGGCGTTTTCCTAAAGTGGTCGTATTACTTCACTCAGCAGCCAGCAGTGTCAGAGAGTTCCAGTTGCTTCTTGGCTTTGTCACACTTGATATGGTCTGTTTTTACTTTTTAGCTACTCTGTGTGTGAAGTTCTACATTACTGAGGGCTTAACTTGGATTTCTGAGACAATTGGTGACGTTGAGCATGTTTTCGTGTGCTTACTGCATATTTATGTCTGTTCAAGTCTTTTGCCTGTTTTTTCGGTTGGGATTTTTGTGTTTTGGTTGCAGTGTATAGGAGTTTCTCATATACCGTGGACACAAGAGCTTTGTCAGACAGATGTACTGTGAATACTTTCCCCGAGTTTGTTTCTTATCTTTATCTTTTCTTAAATATGTATATGGCAGTACTGGAGTTTGCTAGGCAGGTGCTCGATCCCCAGCTCTTTTTCGCTTTAGTTGTTTTCCAGTTAAGGTCTTCCATTTTTGCCTGAGTCATCCTGCACCTCAAACCTCCTACCTGTGGCCCCTACATAGCTAGGATTACAGGTGCATGCCACAGTGCCCAGCTTTTTGGTTGAGATGTGGTCTAGCTAACTTTTTGCATGGGCTAGCCTTGAATTATGATCTTCCAGGTCTCTGTCTTACAAGTAGCTGGGGATTGTAGACGTGGCCTCTTACTGGTATTTTTGATGGACATAAAAATTTAACATTGGAAAAATTCTTTTTTAATTCTATGATTAATAGTTCCTAGTTCCTTTTGCCCAGCCCAAGAACAAGAAGAACATAGGAGGCTTCCTATGTTTGTGTCTGGCTCTTGACTTAAGTCTTTAATCCATTTTACGTTCATTTCTGTGGTTCTCTAAGTGTGTTTTCCAAACCAGCAGCAAATTCTTGTGCCCCACCCAAGCTTACTGAATCAGAAACTGTGGGGAGGACCTAGAAAGCTGAATTTTAATTAAGCCTCCAGGCAATTCTGACGTCCATTGAAGCATGAGGACCACAGGTACACGGGATGAGGTGGGCACTAAGGTCAATTGTGTCATGAGAACGTTGCAGCACCATTTTTAAGAAACCCTCCCTTCGTCCTTGAGTTGCCTCACAGCATGTTGAAAATAAATTGGTCACATACGTGGGACTTGTTGATCTGTGCAAACGTGTCCATTCTTTCACCAAAACCACACTGTCTTACAGCCTTTTAGACACTGCGTCGTGTGTGCACTCCTACCTTGTTCTTGAGAGCGGGTTTGCAGGTTCTAGTGGGGCGCACAGCTGCACACCCATGACACAAGAAATATCTTCCTCTATTGGGGAAGGTCATGCTCTTCACCAGACTGCTCAGCTTCAGGAAGGACACACATGGAGCAGTAGAGGGGACACCTGCCTAGCCATCCAGGTCACCACCTCAACCCTGGCGATCACTGGGGTCAGAGATGTTGCAGCCAACATCTATGGGTTTTTTCATCTAGGGTTTTTCACCTATATTCATGAGGTATATTGGTCCCTTTTCTTGTAATATCTGTCAGAATCAGAATCTGACAAATTACACACATGATGGTTGACTAAAATCAATTTTACTTCTTCCTCATCTCAATACCTTTTATTTCTGTTTTTGCTTCCTTGATTTGTTTTGTGAGACAGAGTTGCATTGTGAAGCCCAAGCTGGTGTAGAATTTACTATGTAGCCCAGGTTGGCCTTGAACCTCTGATCATCCTGTGTCTATTCCTCCCAAGTGCTTGGATTACAGGCAAGGACTGCTCTACCCAGGTCCCTTCTATTTCTTTTTATTCTGCCATTGCACTAAGACATAAAGCTGGATAGAAGTGGATTACTTCCACTACCCCCAGGCATGGGGAAGGAATTCAGTATTTCACTATGAACTCTGATACTACCTGTGTGACTTTCACAAATGCCCCCCTTTGACTCCTAGTATGCTGAGATTTTTTTAAAAATCAATAGTAGGTACTGAAATCTGCCAAATACTTTTCCTGTTTCTGTTAAGATGATACCATTTTTCTCCTTATTTTGTAAATTGTATTGTCTATTTCACATATTCTTAGATTCATTTTATATTTTGTTAAGGATTTTTGCATCAGTTTTTACAAGGAGTATTTGTCCATAATTTTCCTTTTTAGAATGTCTTTGTCAGAATTAGACCCCGATAAGTTATACATATGATAGACCTTTTCCTTGCCCTGTATGCCTATCACACTCTTTTTTGTAGTTCCCATTCTTCTTCCTCTTCATAATTCAGTCTAAATATTATTTGATCTATCATCCAGATTATTAGTGCTCTCTTCTAATCCGCCATTGAATCTATCTACTAATTTATTAATTTTGGTTATTGTATTTTTAAATTGTATTATTTGTACTTAGCATCCAGTTCTATTGATAAATTCTACATCTCACCATATATATTCTTGAACATATTAATCAGCTACTTTACACTCTGTATCTGATAATTCCAGTATCCTGGCAGCCACAGAGGGTGAGGGAGTATCTGTGTCCATTTTCTATTCTTTTCTGTGGCATTTTGTCATGTGGTCCTGTCTCCTAGTATGCCTGGTCATGTTGATTAATTGCCAAATATGAGACATGAAAGTTCTAGGAATAATTTAAGAATATTGATGATGCTTTTCTTCCAGAGTGGATTTACTTTGATTACAACAGGCATTGAAGATAGGCAATGAACAATTTGATCAGTGACTGAGGTGATTCATACCTGACCTCAGTCTCTATGTGGGGTGACCCATTTCTGGCTGACCACTACCACTAGAGTCAAGCTCTTCTGTGAAAAACATCTGAAACTTGGGATGTAATTATTGACTGGGAGTTCTTTGCATCTCATTTTCTCAGTCCAGGCTATAGATCAGCAAATGCTTTGAGGAAAGAAAAGATGCCAACTGTGGGCTCTCCAAGATGTCAGCTCCTTCAGTTCCAGCTGCCTCTGCAGCTCCTGAGGCTTCATGTGGAGTCCGGGGATAGACTCTTGTGATGTTCTTGGTGGAAGCATGGGTTTGCAACACTACTCCTGTTACCCTCTACTGCTACATGACTGGTGTCCTGCCCCCTGAACACTTACAGTTCAGCAAAGGTTGCAATTGAGGTTGGCAGTTGGCTCCTATCTGGAAGTGCCCAGTTCAATAGCATTTGTGCCATGTTTCCAGAGAGGACATCCCCTCTTTTGTAAAATGCGGGTGTGAGCTTCTGAGACTTGATACGTCTTATGCCACCCACCTTCTCCACTTTCACCTCTGTGTCATTCTGCTCAAAGTCTTCTGAAGCGCTTCTTTTCTCTACAGAGTCCCCACACCACTTGCCCACTCACTCTCTTTCTCTGCCACACTGTCCCCCCTACATACACAGGTCACCCGCAAGAAACAGGCCCTAGAGGAGCAGCTGACACAGAGCCTGCAGGACCAGGAGGCCCAGATGGACACTCTTCAGAAGGCTCTGCAGGAGAAGGACACCTTATCTGAGGAGAGGGCCCGTCTGTTAGCCAAGCAGGAAGCCCTGGAGAGACAGGGCAAGTTTATGGCTGAAGAGGCAGCTGATCTCAGGTGCTTATGAGCCTACCAGTCAGGATCTCATCCTCAGATGGTGTGGTGGACACCAGGGATAGTGGTTGGGGGGGAACAGAGAAATAGGGCAGGGCAAGTGTGTCTGTTGTCTGGGCATGACTGAGTGAGGGGAAACATGGTGACTTTGGGGTGGTGGAGCATCTAGATGAGGTACGTCAGAGAGAGACCTGGGCTCACCTTCCTGAAGATGTGGGACGTCCCAGGCCATAGGCAAAGACATCTGAGCGGCATAGGCCATGCCCCCTAGAGAACAGGCAGGCTTTTATAAGGAGGAGAGTTCTAGGCAGATTCAAAGGGAGAGTTTTCTATATGCCTAACTGGAAGGGAGCACTCACTCACATGGAGGGGGAAACACGTAGGTGCTCATGGAAGGGACTAGAATGGGAGACTAGGTACTATAGCAGAGAGTAAGGTTTCTGAGATTCTGACCTGAGCCCTGCAAACACCAGGGAACCCCAGAGCTCTGCCCTGGCGGAAGGGCAGCCATGTGTGGGGACATATGGGAGCTGAAGCGGGGCCTGCCAGGGGCTGATGGAGGGCCCATGGCCCGTGCTCCCGCCCTCCCCAGCCCACCAACTTGGGACCATGCCTTTGCTATTTGTATGTTCGTGAGCACTGTGTTTGGGAGCCTGTGGTGTGGCCTTCTTTGTTGATTTCCTGCCATATATGCACCCAGCCCAAGGCAGAGCATCAGTCACTGGTGGTCATGGGCTGGCTGACCACTGATGAGCTAATTGTCAGAAATTCAGGCTTTTTAGCTCCCTCCTGGAAACAGGCACTGTTGAGTTGCTGTGCATTGTTACTTTTTTTTTTTTTTTTTTTTTGAGTGATTGCTTCTGTGCACACAAATACACTGCGGCAGCCTTTCACACAGCAGAGTCATGCACATGTGAAGTTCTAACTTGGCAGGTTGTTTTGGGGTAAATCCTTCCATGGTAAAAGAATGGAGAACAATTTTCTCATCCTTGCTCTCGAGACTCAATGTACCATAATTTCCAAGACATTCTCCCATTTTTTTGACATTTCGGTCAAGTCTAATTTAATGCTCTATGGAAAGCTATAGTGGGCATCCCTGGATATACATTGTCAGCACTTGTGTGTTTCTGTACAACTCATACCTAGAAGTGGAACTGCCGGGTCCAGTTATGTGCACTTAGACTCCCTCTTCTCCCCCCAACAGTCCTTGCCACCACTGGACATTTCACTGTTTTAAACTTTTGCTAACCTGGTGTATAATTAACACTGCACAGCTGTGATTTAAGTCTCCCCAGGCCCTTCTGAGATCAAGAACCTTTCTGTGTTTTTAGCTATTCATGTTTTCTTTGTTAGTAACAGTCATTTTCTCATTTTTTCTGTAGGATCAGCTGACTTTCTGTCATTTATTGGTAGGAGCTCTTTGTATATGATGGATGTTCACCCTTTGTTTATATATTTAATGCAAATTTTCTTCCAATTCTTGTCTTCTAAGTCAAATCAGAAGACAACTTAGAAGTTGTCTTAAGTTGTCTTCTAAATATGCAGAATCTTTTCTGCAGAAACACTTTCCATCTCTCTGTTTAAGTGCATTCAAATCCGTGGCCTCTTTATTTTTTCTGGCTTGCTTGAGAATATTATAAAGTATTTCTGAGTTATTTTGATATGACTTTATTTGATTTTGTTTCTGGATTTGGCTTTTTATTCCACCTGAAACATATTTTTGTGAAGGGTCAAATTCACTCATAGAGATTTGAAATGAACAGGACATCCATTGATTTACTGGTCTCCTGATCTGGCCTGGGCTCTACTCTGCACACCTTCTGTCTGTCATTCCTCTCCAGGGCTGAGAGGGACTCTCTGGAGAGCAACCTCTTTGAGGCCCAACAGCTGGTGACACAACTGCAGACCCAGAAGGAGCACCTGGAGAGAGAGGCCAAGAGCGCCCGGCTCACTCGGCAGGCTTTGCAAGGTACTCTGGTAGGCTCTCCTGGGCCCCTCTCCCCCACCACTAAGTAACTGTAGGGGGAACTCAGTCCCCAAATGTGCTGCTCTAACTCCCTGAAACCCAGAGGAGCACAAACATGGGCCTGGAGCTCATGTGCTTGGAGTAGCTGTGCCACCCTTGTCCTGCCCAGCCAGAGATTCAGAACTGAGGCACAACCACAGAGTCAGCACAGCAGCCTCCTACCCCATTCCCTGTGCCAGTTCCCCTTCTGGACCCACCCTGCCTTGTGTTGACCATAGGCAACCATAACTCCGGGGACCTCAGGGTAGCATGGTGACACACCTGTCACTTCACAGTGGAAATGGAGCAGCTAAAGAGTGACTGGGAGGTCCGGGAGACAGAGCTGCAGTGGGACATGGGGAGGCTGCAGCAGCAGGTGGCCCAGCAGGAACGGGATGCACAGCTGGCCCTGCAGAGCCAGGAGTTGGCCCACCGAGAAGACTTGGCCCAGCTCCAGAGAGAGAAGGTCCGTCCTGCAGGGTCCCATCTGGCCACTACATGGGAGTCTGACATGTCCTCTCTAGGAGGAGGAGGTGGTGGGGTGGGAGTTTAAGTGGACTGCACCAGTCCTTCCTTGGGAAGCCCTTGCAGTGGGGAGGGGGAGCAGGTGTGCAGAGTGGGCTCTCCCTCACAGATGAGGCTGGGCCTAGGAATCAGCTGCCCTGGCTGCAGGTTAAGTGCTGCAGACTGAACATAGCCTCATGCCTATCTGATCTGTCCCACTGGTCATAGGCCGCTGGAGGCCTTTTTTGATGTGTCAAACCATCTACTCATCCACACATCCATCCATCCATCCATCAATCCATCTAACCTACCTATCCATACATACATACAAACATACACACATTCATACACCCACACACCCATCCATCCATGCTCCATCCATTCATCAATCTATCTATCCACCCATTCATCCATCTATCCACACACAAAGACAGTCAGACATCTATCCACCCATCCATCAATCCATCTGCCCACCCAACCATCCATCCATACAAACATCCATCCATCCATGCAAACATCCATCCATGCATCCATCCATCCATCCATGCATCCATCCATCCATCTATACAAACCGTCCATCCATCCAGGCATCCACACACACATACATACACACATACACCCACACACCCATCCATCCATGTCCATCAAGAGCACATAGCAGAAATACAGGAGAAGTTTAGGACCTGTTAGATTAATGGTGGAGGGGATGGTGGATGCTGGGACCTGGAGAGGCCTTTCCCAGTTTCTCCTTGGGGAACTCTATGAAGAAGACAAAGGGAGAGAGGCAGGAATGACAGTCCAACCTTGGTGTCCTGTGGGCCAGGTCTCACTCAGGACCACAGGTGCTTACTGGTCTCCCATTCCCTGACCTCACAGCCTGTACTTGGCCTTGGCTGGGAGCCTCTCAGTCTACCCCTGGCAGAAGAGAAGGAGGTGGCCACACAACATCTGGAACAGGAGAGGAAGCTGGTGGCAAAAAGTGCAGCTGAGAGGGAAGCACTGGAGGAGGAGATTCAGAGCCTGAAGCAGGAGCGGGATGAGAGCCTCCTCCAACTGGAGCACGAGATGCAGCGGGTAATGGAGGTAGGGGAGGTGGGGGGGGTCTCACACCCACCTCACTGTCTTCTTGGGCCCAGCACAAGAGTCACGTGGGGGTTGCCTCTCGGGCAGGTGCAGCCATTCCTGATTACTGCTAATGCAGCATTAGTCTTCCACAGCAGTCTTGATGGACAAACGTCCACCTACCCACCCACCCATCAATCTCTACATCCATCTGTTCACACACCCGTCTATCCACCCACTCATCCATACATCCCCCTGCTTACTTATCTACCACACTACTCATCCATCCAACCTTCCATCCATCCTTCCATCCATCCACCCCCATACCCATCCATTCACCAATCCACACACTCATCCACATATCTGCCTACCTATTCATCAACTCATCTATGCTTCTATCCATCAATTTGACTGACCCTCCATTCATGTGTCCGTCATCCTTCTACTTACTTGAATATCCATCCTTCTTTCTACCTATCCAGTTATCCACCCACATCCATGGCCACCCAGCCACACACCTGCTATCTGTTCACTAATTCATCCTGTCATCCATTTATCCACCCCCGCAACCATCCATCCATCCATTCACTGAAATACCCTCCCATCTGTCCACACACTCAGCAGTCTATCCACATGTCTGACAACCTATCTACTCACTTGATGAGCCAGTCATCCAGTCATCCCTCAGAATCTCCAACCTCTTCACAACCCAGACACACAGTGATCAGCCACGCTAATCCCACAGGCTAAGCCTCAGACACTGGGCCTAAAAAGCCACCAACTAAATCCAGGTTTCTGCAGTGCATTGGGCCACCCTGTAGGGCTCACTGTTGAGTGAGTACACACATTCATATGTGCCATCACACAGTATAACAAGGACTATAAAATGTGGGCACAAATTACTAATTACAGGGGAGGAATTGTGGTGGCTGGAAGAGCCAGTGTTTGCTGTCAGAGTCCACATTCTCACAACACTCAAGGTATGAGTCCCATTTTACTGGTAGAAATCTGAGATCTGTCCATGTCGATCTCTTGCCTGGGGCTGCACAGCACACTTGCTGGGCACTGAGGTCTGCACTTAACTGTCTACTTCTCTGCGTCTGGAGATGGAGGAGGTGAAGGCCTTAAAAGAGGAACTGGAGGCTGGGGGAGCACAAAAGGAGGCCTGTGATGTATGTCGTCTGTGGCGCCTGGCTGTGGTGAGCAGGGCAGCACAGAGTGCAGAGAGTCACGGTGGGTTTCACATACCAGGCTCATGCTCGAGGGAACAATGGCTGTTGTTGAGAAGGGTGATGTGAAGAGGGTTGGGGAAGTGATCCTGGGCCCAGGGAGGACAGGGAGCAGCTGAGGCCTGAACCAGAACCAGTGAAGGAGATGGGTGGGTCAGTGACCTAGCTCCCTCCGATGTGTGAGAAAAAAGGCTCAGGGAAGCAATGCATCTTGGGAAGTGGTTGTTGAGTCAAGGCCCCTCACAGCCCCTCCCTCACATCTGAGACCACTGACTGGACCATACTGCCTGTTCTCACATTTCTATGATCACAGCTTCCCAGCATCACACTCGGCACGAGGAGAGGGGAACTCAGTCAGAGGAGATGGACAGGTGCATGTGCCAGTGGCCTTTGCTGGACCCACGGTGTGACCTGTGTACCCCAGGGTTGTGACACAGAAGGCCAGGCCTATGGGCAGCTGTCACCATCACAGCAAGTGGACATTCCCTGGACCTTTGCTGACCCTGCTACTGGCCTTCATGTCAGGCAGCCTGGGTGAAAGAGCAGAGCCAAGAAAGGAAAGCATCCAGTGGGCAGATTCTACACACTTCCCTGAGGAAGCCATGACCACTTACGTCACAGACAGTCTTCAGTAGTCCTTAGCAAAGAAGAGAGATTCTGTGTGGACCAAGAGTCAAGGAGCAGGACAGTAGGCCTGGAGGGACCATTTCACCTCAATTCTGTGTTCTCTGTGGCCTACTGGGTCTGAACCGTGACTGGCTCACCTATGCTTGCAGAGCAAAGCCCTCACCAGTGAATGCCAAACTTCTGACTTCAATGAAGCTTTGCCTAAAATTTTGGCAAATATTTTCTTGCTGTGCCCACTAGCGAAGGTCTAGAGGGAGAGACAAGTCCTAGAAGCCCTTACAGCCGGGGTAGATGGACTCGTGAGGAGCTGAAGTGTGGTCGGCAGAAGCGATGCATCTCGGGCCCAGGGAGGGGGTGCTGAGGAGGGAGCACTGGTTTTTTTTCAATTGTTCAAAACATTTAGCACAGTGCTCCCACCCCTGTCTGTCACTTCCTCAGGGAACTACTGTCACTTTTTTTCTTGCATTCTTCTGCAGTGCATTCTGACCTTAGCTGCCTGGAGTTAGTGCAGACTCAAGCAGTGAGAGGGGCACAGTCCCCCAGCACAACTGCCCTCACTCCAGACACCAGCCAAAAGCTCAGAAATCTTCAGGCCACCCACGTCTCTGACCAAAACAACTACAAATGTGGGGTTCCCAGGACCCCACGGGCTCTTTAATTCACTAAAATGACTCACAGAACTCAAGAAAGTGCCAGGCTTACGACCAGTTTTATTTCTTCTTTCTTTCCCTTCCTTCCTTTTTTTTTAAATGGCAGTACTGGGCTTTGAACTCAGGGCCTTGTGGTTGGTAGTAGGCACTCTACCACTTGAACCATAGCCCTAGTCCTTATTTGCTTTAGTTAATTTTCAGATAGAATCTCACACCTTATAGCTGAGGTCACACTGGCCTCCTGGACCCAGTCCTCCTACCTATGCCTCTGTGTAGCTGGGATGACAGGCATACAACACCACACCTCGCTTGTTTGTTGAGATGGAGTCTAGTTAACTTTTTGCCTGGGCTGGTCTTGAAACATGATCCTCCAGATCTCTGGAGGACCCTGCCCCAAAGCTGGGATTACAGTTATGGATCACCACATACAGCTGCAGGTACATTTCCAAGGCTACAAATCAGGACCAGCCAGAAGAGCAATGTGGGATGAAGTCTGGGCAAATCTGTACCTCAGCCTCCTCGTGGAATGGGCACGTCACTCTGCCAATCCATCCCTGTGTTCAAAAAGGAGGTTCCCCAAGCTTCTGTGACCAGGGTTTGTATTGGGGTTTCACTTTGCAGCTTGATTAATGGAATGACTGGTCATGTGGCTGAAGCTGGTTTCCAGAACTCCCCCAGAGACCCCAGTCCTCCACTCACACAGTGGGTCTTTCCAGCGCGGACAGGCCCATCCTGAAACTGTATAACCTCATTAACATGAACTCAAGCGTGGTCTCAGGGCCCACCAATCACAGACACTCCTCACAGGGGAGGTTTTCAGGATTTAGAAGCTCCCTTGCAGGACCCAGGATGATGAGCAGACAAATACTTCATTAGGCAACACCCAGAATTACTTGCAGTGGGAAATATTCAGACTTAGGACAGGGTTATATCCAGATAAACCATCATAAGCTGAAGATCCCAAGTTGAAAATGCACTTGATATACCTGACCTGCAGAACACCCCAGTGCTGCAGCTGGATCACTACAATGTCACTTGTTCCCTCTGGTGGTCACAGGGCTGAATGGAAGCTGCACCCACTGCCACTGCTGCCCAGCATCCAAGAGAGCACTAGCCTGGGAAGAGACCCAAATGCAAAATTTGATGTTCGTTTCTACCAAATGTGTGCTGCTTACACACCCTTGTAAGAGGGGACCGTCTGTATAGTGCTCCCTTTTCTCACTTTTTTTTTTTAACACAAAAGTTGTGGGAAGCCCATACGCTCTCCTGATTGTTGATTACTATCAATGTGCCCATGATTCTTTTTCACAGCTGCTTAGTGCTCTGGTGGGTCTAGGGCTCTTCATTTGTTGGCGGGTCTCCCACCGCTGCACACCCGGATTGTGTCCGGTCTGTTGCTGTTACAAGCCATGTTATAAACAGCCCTGGATGAGATGCTGAGTGTGAATGGCCTGCACCTGTCCTGCATGGGCCTGGGCAGAGGGAGAAGAGCACTTGTGACTTTGATGGGCACTACCAAATCCTTCCACCTTCTACCGCCCTGCTGAGGACAGCATTCTGGCCTTGGAGCTGGGGTGAAGCTCAGCCTCCCTGGGTCAGACTGGTGTGTCTGACCCAGGCATTTTCAGGGCTTGTGGACTTTGGTGGCTCCTTCCTGTACACTGTAGGAAGTCTGGATCTACCCTGGAAAAGAGCAGGGTTTGGGACAGGCGTAGGATGGGGACAGCCAAATGGAAGCCCAGGGGTGAGGACATGGGATGGATGGAGTGTGCTCCAGGTGAAGGGCCCTGGACTCAGAACAGCCCCTAGCCTGTGGCAGGGTGTAGAAATGGGACTAGCACATCTAGCAGGCGCCTTAACACTCAACATCTGCTACCTCTTCATGGAGAGGGGGTGTACCACCTTCCCCGAGACCACAAGCTCTCTTACAATGCCCCCACCCCATGTCCAGGCACTGTCCCTGAAGGAAGCAGAGAGGATCCTACTGAGCGACAAGCTCTCTGGGACTGTGCGGGAGCTGGAGCAGGTGCGACAGGAGGCCCAGAGCCAGGAGGCACAAGCTGAGGTGAGCCCCGCCATCCAGAGCCCGGGCCAGGCCCCCATCCTGGCTGTGCACAGACCAGCAGGTGCTGCTGACCCCAGCACACCCCCTCCCTTCTGCCCATTCCTAGCAACACATCCTCCTCCCCATACCTTTCTGAGCCTCGGTTTCCCCCAGTGTATCCAGGTCTTCTGCTAGGAGGAAACACTGTCTTGATGGCACAGCAAAGGTGGAGTGAGCCAAGGCTGTGCCCTTGTCCTTTCCTGTGGTGGTTGTGGGCTCCAGGACTCCGCCTGGCCCAGTGTTCCCTGCCCTTGGAGATAGCTGGGGCCAGAGGGGAGGGCTAAGCCGTACACTGGCTAGCAACTGCCAGGGTGGGTGTGGACCCAGGCCTGTGCCCCCCTGATTGCCAGACCATATGGTACCAGCCTTGCCCGCCTATACTTGAGCTGGTGGTCATAAAGCCCAGCTGGAGACACACACAAATCCTCTGAGGACTCACCGCTAGAGGTCCCTTCCAGAGAAGGAGCTGGTGATATCTGGGGCAAATCCTTGTCTGCTAGAGAGCCTCTTTTGCTGCCCTGGTAGAAAGCGTGAGCAGCTAGGTGGGAGACAGATGTGCCAAGACAGCAGGGCTTCAGGGAGGCCACTTGGTCACTCTCACAGTGGGGCAGGGTTGATTCCAGGGTGCCGTGCAGCAGAAAAAAATGTTGCAATTCCTCCCCTCTGACACCACAACCCAGACCCCATCACTGAGCCGGGCAACTGAAGGGATAACCTTCAGTTAGACCCCCAGGAAGTCTTTCCAGAGAGTTTCTCAATTGCTCCCGACCCACCCCAGCCCCATTCCTGCACCGAGGCTTGGACAGCCCTTCCTAGGTGCAGGCCTGGGGGATCCTCTGGCCAGGGGGGCTGTGGCTGTGGCTGTGGTCCTCCTTCCCAGCTGCTTGCTCACCGAGCTCCACCCTGTGGGCAGGGAACCAGGAAGGCCTCCTGAGACCCTGGGAGCTGCCGCCTCTGGCTTGCAGAGGAGCCTCTGCGGGAGCCAGCGCTGGCTTCCGGAGCCATCTCTTGTGCTAGCCAAGTCTCCCCCTGAGCTGGGACCAGGTCTGCCAGCCAGCGGGGCTCCTTGGGGAGCTCATTAAGGGTTCTTTTGCCACCTCAGCTCAGAAAATGGAAATTAAAACCCGCTGAGAGGGGGGAAATGCAGCCAAGGAACACCAGCTGTGGGGTGACATGGAATTGAGCCATGGGTGTGCGAAGGGGTGTCCTGGCCTGAGTCACCACTGCTGAGGACCCTGAGGTCCACCACCGGTCTCCACAGCCTCATTGAGCAGACAGTGCCAGAGCCATGCTGGGGCATAGAACCACAACCTGTCCATCCAAGATGACCTGTGTCAGTTGAGAGGGACAGCAGAGGCCAAGGGACAGAGGAGGCACCTCAGTGGCTCCTTTGCCCAAAGCAGGAGTTAGAGCTGACAGAAACCCCCACATAGCAATGCCCTTGGGCACAGCTTGCAGCATACAGGAGCCACAGCAGGTCTCCATGTGACACTCAAACCTCCCTTCTGCTGGCTCCAGAAGGGCCTGTCCTGCTTTGTCAGCTGTGCGGTAGTCCCCAGGCCCACAAGCACTGTAGCCTGAGCAGGGCAGCATCTATCTCGAAAGGCTGAGGACTCTGCGGCTAGAAACAAGACCACTTGTTTCTGGCCCTGCTGCTCCAGCCTGGGGACCCAGGGAGGAGGTCCTTTCAAGGAGGCTAGGCTGGACCTCAGCACAGCTTGTTCAGGGTGATGTCCTTGTCGGTGGATAAGCGGGTGCTTCAAGAACCACTGCCGTGGGCTATGCCCAAGGTCTCTCAGTTAGAGGGTCCTGGCTTCCTGCAGGTGCCCAGTGGTCAGTAGTCCCCTAGCAAGAAGAGTGGGCCGTGGCAACAGGAGAACAGACTTGAGCTGCTGAGTGCTGATCACCATTAGAGCTGTCAGGCCACAGTGGCAGCACCTTGGCAGGTGTGACTGATCACGCACATTCAAAGCTGCAGGGACAGGGATGTCCTCTAATCCACCTGCCTGATTGACAGGTCAGGAAACGAAGGTCCAGGAGGGCAGGGGTCAGCAGTTCCCAGCTCTCCCTTCCCCGACAATGGATTCTGGCCTCCTCATCCCATGCTGATGGGAGGATGCCTCCGGGGGGATGGGGGAAGCCGAGGTACCTCTTTCGGGAGGGGCAAGCCATACTGACCTCCTCCTGCAGGTCTCAGGGCTCTGGGATTTGGGGTGCTTCATGCCCAGCTAGGCCCATGTGACCTGCAAGGCTGGTGAGGGCAGAGGCTCAGCCTCAGCACCACTGCCTGGCTGGGGAGTCCCAAGTGCCATGTCATTGAAAAAAGAGCCTATTCACATGCCAGATTGCCGTTCCTGACCCCTCTTCACGTAGCCAAGTGGGCTGGACAGGAAAATTTTAGGCAGGAAAGGAACTGGCGCTTGGCCCCTCTGACAGCCCTGCTGCCCACCTACTATGGTCTGGCTGCTTGGGGATCCCAGAGGAAAAGCATAAAGTGGGAGCCCCTTTTACATGGGGAGCACCCCTAAGACCTCCACCCCATGTGCATTATTACCACGGCCTGGTGGTTAGCACGAGAACCCGGACTCAAGCCCAGTCCAGTTTCACCCTCAGCTAGTGCTGTGTTCAGCTGGGCTCCCTCATGCACTGTGGGTCACTGCTCCCCAGGTCACCATCAGCACCCTGACCAAGGAGTTGAGGACCCTGCAGGTCCAGTTCGAGGAGGCCATCTCTACCCACCAGAGAGAAACTGCAGCTTTGAGTGAGAGGCTCCGGGAGATGGCAGCTGAGCGGAGCAAAGTACAAAGAGAGGTGAGAGGGGTTGGGTCTCCAGAGAGGGGAGAGGTGGAGAGAGAGAGAAAGCGGGGTGCTGAGGAGTGAGGGGTGCTGGAGGGAGGGGAGAGTGGGGTGCTGAGAGTGGTGTACTGGAGGGAAGGGAGAGGCCTGGGGGATCAGGAAGACATCTCTCTCAGAACGGGTCAAATGATTCCTGGCTCCTTCCCTCAACTGAGGGAAAACTGGCTCATGTTTTAGTGAGAAGAAGTCATCGTTTTTAAGCCTAAAGTGATGAATTTGGCTTCAGGAGAGAGCAAACTTGACTGAGTGGAATCCTACAGGAGTAAGGGAAGCTGCCCGTAAGGTGCTGAGGGTGGTGGTGGTGGGATTCTGGTCATGGCTCCTCTGGCCCTGCCCCACTCCAGGAGGGCCCACAGTGTATCTGTGCTCTTGGTGGGATTGTCAGGAGCATGCCACCTTGAGAGGCCAATACATGGAAGGTTGGCCAGAGCCTCATGGCCCAGGATTCAGGGGCTTACACAACCTGTGCTCATTCCACACATAGCTAAGAAATCAGGAGGGAGTCAGATGCGGGGACCCTCTTTGTGTAGTCACTGCAGCTTCCTCCCAAGGCCTGTCTGAGAGGCTGCCGTGACCTGGGGTGTCAAGGGGAAGGCCAGGCCCTAAGCCAAAGGGTCCATCCCTCTAACAAGCCACAGGAAGACCCCCCCAGAGGGGCAGTGCTGAGCCAGGCTCTGACTACTCCTTTGAATTGAGTGCTGGGATGGGGTGAGACTGAGTTTGAGGGTGCCCAGAGTAGAAAGGGGCAAAAGTAGGGAGTTAGGGTTTTCAGAGGCAGTCATGGCCTGGCCAAGGCCCTGGTGTTGACACAGAGGCCCCAAGACCACATGATTAAGACAGGGAGGGGGACGATCTTGGGCAGAGGCAGAAGAAAGAAAGCTCAGCTACGCTGGGCTGGGGCCCAGCAGGCAGGCAGATGGAAAGGTGTTTCTGAGGAGCTTTGACAGGACTTGGGGACGCCTGTGAGAGCCGAGGGCAGGAGGGCATGTGGATTTGGGCTGCAGGAGGGGGGGTCAGCCAGAGCCCAGGTGGGGCCTGTGGGGACAAGGAGGCCTCACGGCTCCCTGGGCTGTGTGCCAAGGCTGGCAGGCAGGGCAGCTGGCCTGGTGTTGTAGCACGCCAGGCCTGAGTGAGGAGAGGGGTTCGCCCTCCCCAAGCATGTCCCAAGGGGCCGGCCGAGAGCCCTGGAGAGGAAGAGAACTGATTTAACATGACGGGCTGTTTACATTGGCCCCAGAGAGAAAGGGCTTCTTCCAACAGATTTCAAAGTCAGCCGCTACACGGGGAAGCAAAGTGAGATTTCAAAACAGGACAGTAAGGGAGGAGCCAGCAGACTGGGGAGCCACGTTTGTTCTGGTAGGGTGAAGGATGAAGGCATAGGCCTCACAGCAAGGTCAGGTTTCCAGAGAGGCAGCCCCAGAAAGGCAGTGGGTGACAAGATATTGAAAGGCAAGGGGGACTCAGGACAGAGGAACAATCACAGAGAGAACAGGCAGAAGAGCCTTTCAGGCGCCAGGCTGACCTAGAGTTGCCATGGAGACCACAACATTTCACAGCCTTTAAAATGCAGAGATTTTTAGGCTCTCAAGGTCTGCTTGGGGTTCAAACACGTGTGCGTGCACATTCACTTGCATGCCCATGTATGGACACCATGTACACATTTGTGCAGCTTGATGTCACACACATCACCCCATGCACACACAGTGCTCACATGTGTAAACACACATGAACCTCACAAGACATACACACACACGTGCACACGGAAGCAATCCATTTACACCTATGTGTGTAAATGAACATGTCACACTCAGGCATGCACACACACCCTCTACAGGCAGTGTACATGCATGCACACACCAAAACACATATGTGCACATGCTTGCACACACAGGCCAGGTCCCACTGCTGCCCTCCCTGCTCTCCCTCACCACCTCCTCCCTGCAGAGCTCTGGAGCTGCCTCCCTGCAGGAGATTTCAAAAGAGGCTGTTTACACAATTTCTAGTAAAGAAATAATTATTATAATCACATTAAGCGATTTGGCTGTAAAATTCCTGTAAAAGGGATAGTTGTTCTCATGAGGCTGGTGGGCGGGGGTGTGGGGCAGTGGGGGAAGGGGGGCTTCCTTGTGTTTGTTTTGCTTGTTTTCATCTCCTCTGCTCTGGGAAATGAGAACAGCTCCTTTTATGATGGATAGGCCCTTTCCCTGGTCCTTGACCTTCTGGGTGGATTTCTGCTGAGCTCGGCGGAAAAATGCTCAGCACAGTTGTGGCTCCCACATGTGGGGGGTGGGTGGGGAGCAGAGGGGAGGCCCGGGCCCTTCCCAAAAAACAGAACAACAATAACAGCAGGCGGACTCCGAGCCAGGCCGGCCGGGGGTCTGGACAATGTCCCATGAAACAGCCAGCAAAGAGGGGTTTGCTTTTGGCAAACCAGCGACACATGGATGTTGCTGAGTCCTTGTGGCTTCTCCTCTCTCACAAGCCCCTGCTGGCTTCCTCCACCTCCTCCCCAGGGACACTCCAGAGCCAGAATGGAGCCTACCCTAGACTTCTGTCAGGGTCATAGCTCAGGACTGGGGAGCCCTCAGCAAGTCCCAACCCCCTATCTTGGGGTGCTAAGAATGGGGTTGCCCCAGGCCTTAGGCCTTCCAGGCTGGTCTCAAATCCAGACCCTCCCACAGTGGACTCTGTGGAGCCCAGCCGCCTTGAGCTGCCTCCTGTCCCAGGCCTGGAAACCAAGACTTGGCTCCCAACCTGCCCCCATGCTTCAGCCAGAGGGCCGGACTCTTGTTTATATAATTGCAGCATGCAGACCCAGGCCAGGGCATATGGCCCTGGTTCCAGCATGATGGGTCACACTCTGGGCCCTGGACCAGCCTAGCAGGGGATGAGGATTCAGACCCGTGGCCTCTTGCCCTTCTTGGGTCAGCTCACAGAGGTACAAAACACCCAAAGGCCAGGGATGGGGGTAGTGGCCAGGTGCTCTTCCCCCACTCCCAAGTCTGAGAGGCCTTGCTCCTGTGGGTTGAGCCTCATGAAGGACTCCTACGATGGTGAGTGCCTCCTGCCCAGCAGCAGCTGGACAGCAAGGCCAGGGTAGCCCCAAGTCTATCAGCATATTTGCAGTGCGTGGGTGTTCAAGACCCCCTACACTGCCTTCCACACCAGTGGGGAAAGGGGAGGAAGGAGGCTGGACGGTGTGGGCACACCCACAACTGTGCAGTGGCCAGTGCCAAGTCCACTGGCCAGCCACTCACTCCAAAACAGGCAGTGGCCCCAGTGCCGTACCACTATGAGGGAGAAGAGTAGGCCAGCAGCAGCAGCAGCTGGATGTGGGTGGGTGCAGATATATGGATAAAGCCATGCTGACCACTGATCAGCATCCTAGAGTCCAAGCCCAGAAGGGGTCAGTGTCGAGTCTACCTGAGCTCTGGGACTGGCTCTCTGTCCCCAGCCACCCCATGACCTCTGTGGCAGTAGGGAAAGGTATTATCCCTGAGGTCTGCTTCCTCCTTCATGTGCTGGGGGACCCAGGGCTGTCAGACCAGTCAGAGTCACCTGCTCCTGTGGCTGTCCTTGGAGTAGTTGCCTGTATGCTCCAGGCCCCTGGCTGGCCACTAGAACTGCCCACTCCTACCCCAGGCAGAGGTGCTGCGGGCACAGCTGAACGTGGCCCAGGAAGGGTTGGCTGAGCTGCACCAGGAACTACAGGTCAGCGAGGAAAGCCAAGAAAGGCTGCACAGGGAGGCCCTGGAGGCCCACCGGATACTGGAGGATGAGGTTCGAGAGAAGAACGTACTGCATCACTCCAACACGGAGCTGCGGGCTGCCATCCTCAGGGCTGAGCAGGAGAAGGCCAGGTATGGTGGCTGCCCGGTGGAGCAGCTATGGGGAAACAGTAGCCCGATTGCTCAGCCAGGGCCATGGTATGGTCCTAGGGCAAAGCAGGTGGAATGTGGGGTATGGGTTGGCCTAGGAGCTGGGCCTGATTGATGGTAAAGAAGAGGTCTCCAAGTACCACCAGCCCATGCTGGCAGGCTGGGGACTCGAGCAGACCTGACCCTACCTTCAAAAAGTTCCAGTCCAGCAGGCCAGACAGCTACAAGTAGCCTACAGAAGACGGGGAAAGGCTGTGGAGTCAAGAGCATTGGGGTCCAGTGGGCTCCAGGAAGGCTCCTGTGGGAGGCACAGGGGCTGGGACTGAACATGGGGTCTCTGGGGGTGTGATGAAGGGCAGGAGGGTGAGGAGGGGTGGGCTAAAGAGGGGCTGAGAGGTGGGCAGTGGACACTGGACAGGGACCATGGTAGTGGGCTTAGACCTGGACGGATGTGCGCCAAAGGTAACAGGGAGCCCTACAGAAGCTAGGTCTTGGGACAGTGAGTAGAGTCCACGTGGCGGACAGCCTCTCACAGCGGGGGCGGGTCACCACGGGGAAATCTGGACCTCCGGCATCCAGCCAGCCTGTGGCGCCTGCTTAGTTTGAAGCGATCCAAGGAAGAGCAGGAGCAGAAGCTACTGGTGCTGGAGGAGGCCCGGGCGGTGGCTCGGAAGGAGGCCTGCACGCTGAGGGCCAGGTTGCAGGAGCTGGAACGGGCGCGGGGAGACGCCTGCCGGGAGCTCCAGGAGCGCCGCAGACAGGTAAGGGGACCCCATACCCAATTAAGTTGCACGCCTAGTCATCTTTCCCTGTTCCTACCTCACGGCCATACTGGGTGCAAGCTTCTGCTACTGTCCTTTTGGGGGTTGATGCTCGCCAGAGCCACTCTGCCAGTGAGGGCCAGAACTGACTCAGAACAGCTTCTACACCCCTCACTCTCTGTTCAGTGTCCTCGCCCAGAGAGGAGATGCCAAGTAGGTGTCTGCACAGGGGCTGAGGTTGGCCCCAGGGCCTGGTCCCATGAGGGCAAGCAAGACCTCTGCCCAGATCTGGACTTAATCTGAGGCTCCCTGAGTGTGCTGCCACAAGGGAAGACATGGGGAGCAGAGGCAGGGGCCAGGGAAGCAGCCCAGGGTGCTGCCCTATCAGTCGCACTCCCGTGATCCCAGGTGAGGACCCTGGAAGAGGAGAACCAGAGGAAGTGCCAGGAGGTGAGCACACTGCAGGCCCGAGGCACACAGGAGACAGAGCGGTGGCAGCAGAGCCAGCAGGAGGCACTGAAGCTGCAGAGGCAGGTGGCTGAGGCTGAAGCTGCCCGTGACGGCACCCAGAAGGAGGTAGGAGGTCTGCCTGTCCTCCTTGGAAGGGTCTCTGAGCTCTGGTTAGCTCAGGGGCAGCCAGGCTTGGCCAGGTCCACAGGAATGCCCTGGAAGGAGCACTAGAAGGGAGACAGGAGACAGCTGGGTGCCCACTTGCACAGCCCCTGTGCTAACCTGACCATGTGCAGCCAAGGGTAGAGAGAGTGATCTGAGGCAAAGTTTCCAGCTACAGCCATAACCTGCCCTGATTTCCCAGGGGTTCATGGTTTAGAAAAAAGCCAAGTCTTGCACAGGTGCCACAAAGTTCTAAACAGGGGAGAGGCAAGGGGGCATCAAAATGAGAGACTCCCCACAATTCTTAGGATGCTGAGCTCACAGGACCTCACCCACATGCACCACACCTGCCTGTCACGTGCACTGGTGTCCCCATGCTCCTGCCCCTCACATCAGCTCCTGTGACCTCTGTGTAGCCCTAGCCCAACCTGCCAGTTCAGTGTGCCGAACTGAGCTGCTGTATGTGAGTAGGGTCACGAGAGACTCCAGGGGCATCAGCTTGTCCCCAACCTGCATGAGGCCCTGAGTTCTAACCCCAGTACCGCCAAAAAAAAGAAGTTAACCATTGTGCCCAGAGAATGTAGGGGGTACCTACCAAGTCCATGTGACTAAGAATGACCTCAGCCCTATACCTGCTTCTGTGAATGAGGTCACTGTGCTGCAGCCACCCAGAGAGAGAGGTGAGGTGAGGCCAGGCCCTGTGTCTCCAGCTCAGGGAGTTTGTCCCATCCTCTTCACAACTAGCACACTCCCTGTTCACACACAAGTAAGGAGGGGGCACCTCAGGAGTGCAGATGATGTCCCAAGGCCGGGAACACAGCCAGGCACCGAGAGTGACAGGGTCTGCAGTGCCAGATGAAGGGCTGGCTGAGGGTAGGCCCCCGGCAAAAGGCAGCAGACTGAGCCTGTGGGCTTGACTGGCTGGAGCTTTTCAGGTGGCTACCAGCAGAGCTTTAGGCTGCTACAGAATGTACTACAGTACTGAGGGCAGTCCCCTTGGATCAGGTGTCCTCACCTGCCAGACACATGCAGGAGGTAGATCCAGAGTCTCCCTCCAGCTGTGACCTGCTTGGGGCGGGGAGGGCGTGGGTCTCAGGGCAGGTGGACCTGGGTGTCTCCTAAGGCCTGTCGGGCCTTTGGTTATCTAGCCCAGGTGTCAAGAGTCTCCCCTGAGCACCCCCACACACATGCCCCCTACAGGTCCTGGGGCTGCAGAGGAAATTGGCAGAGGCAGAGGCCGCAGGCGAGGCCCAGATAAAGAAGCTGGAAGGGCGCCTCCGTGAGAGCCAGGAGGCTGAGCAGACCCTGCAGGCCAAGGTACACAGCGTCACCAGGAGGCTACAACAAGCCAGCAGCCTGGCCAACAGCCTCCAGGCTCGCCTTGATGGTGCCTGTAGCCGGGTGGACAGCCTGGAGCAGGAGCTGGCCCAGGCCAAGGATGCCAGACGGAGTGCAGAGGCCCAGCTAGGCCATCTGTGCTCTACTCTCCGCCATGGCCTGGGGCTCTGGAGCCGGAGCCCATCAACCTCTCCAGAGCGACCCAGCTCCCCCACAAGAGGTCAGTGTCCTGCTGTCTCAACTTTGGCGCCCCAACCCCTCCTTGGGGCTCGTAATCAACACAGCAAGGGGGCTGGACCAGTCCCAACAATTCTGGGAGCCTGTGCCCACCACTGTCCTGCCCCCAGCTCCCATGGACAGGAATAGCAGAAAAATATTAGGGTGGCATGTGTCTGTCATTCCGTCCCTACTTACGTCTCCTCTGCGGTCATCCCCTGCAGGCTCTGACAACTCTCAGGCTCGCCCTGGGCAGCGGAGTGCCAGCCCCCACACCAGGCCCCATTTGCCACTCCGATGTCCCTCACCTGCACCCGGAGACCATGAGCCAGAAGTCATGGATGTGACCTTTGTGCAGGACGCCTTGCGAGACTTCCGGCAGAAGCTTTGGGATGCCCAGCAGGAGCGGGTAAGGTGGGGCTGGAGTCCTCTTCTCCCCTGTTGGCACATGTCCTGGGACTCTAGGAGACAACTGCTGTCCGTCTGTCTATCCACCACCGGGCCTTCTGAGAACCTGATGGTCAGTGTGAAGGCTGTCCTGAGTTTGTGGTGACAAATACCAGTAATGCTACTGTCCCTCATACCGGCTACCTCACATGGCAGTGAGCCACCTGTCCTCTAGAGCCGGTCCAACAGTGATGCCTCCCGGAGTCCAGGGAAGGACATTCTCCATCCATGCCACTTCTGAAGAACTGTCCCCATAAGCTAAGGACACTGCATGACAGACCTGGCCAGCCCACCATCTGGTGTCCCCCATGACCCCTATTGTGGGGACATGCTCTCTGGTGGCTACTCACATGTACTCCTGGCCCCACAAGTCCATCAGGGCCACCGTAGGCTGTCTCCTCCTGACTTGTCTGTCAGATGGCAGGTGGGCAGGGCTGTGGGAGAGACAGATGGTCACAGAGCACTATTGGGGTCTTCCATCTCTTCCCTTGGATCCAAGGGAGAAGGTCCCATCCTGGCTCAGTTCTGGGACCTGGCCTGGGGCCCTGGCTCTCTGTCATCCTGACCATAGCCTATAGCCACCCCCTGCGCAGCTCCCCCCCACTCTAAGCCTATACCCCAAGCCTGGACTCTTCAAGCCCAGTCCTCACTCTAGTCACTATGTGCTCTCCCCAAACCAGTGGGTCTGGCCTTCCCTGTAGCCTGCAGCCTGCCCACTCTCTGCCCTTCCTCCTGTGTCTCCAGGCTCAACTGTGAGCGGTCCACCTGGCCCCCTAGCCTGCTAGTGGATACCTCAGCCCTTCCCTCTCCTGCCAGGCTGCCTGCTAACTTCAGTTCTTCTGCCCAGGATAACTTCCGTGTCCAGGTGGCCAGTCTCAGCGACCAGCTGACTGAGGTGGAGAGCGAGCGTGCCCGAGTCCAAAGCCACGTGGGGCAGCTGCAAAGGGACCTGGCTGAGGTGGAGGAAGGTGATCTCCCTCACCCATCCCCGTGAGGGAGCCCCACCATCTCCCTCCCCTACCCACCTTGGATGTGTGGTCTCAGGACAGCTCCCGGATGGGAGGGCCAGCACCACCTTTCCCAGCAGTGGTTTCCAATGGGAAAAAGTCCAGAGATCTCTGGAGGCCCTGCCCAACTGGCCTAGCCATAGCTTCCTGCCATTCCCACCTCAGGGCCTTTGCTTAGCTGTGACCTCTGCCTGGCACCCTCTTTCCCAGATAGCCACATGCCTTGCCCCCAGTTTGGGTCTCTGCCCCTTGTCACCTCCTTGGAGAGACCTCCTTCCTGGCTCTTCCCCCATCAATTACTCTTAACTTTCCCCATTAAAAGGGCAACCCAGTGCCCAGGAAGGAAGGAAGGTGGGAGAAAAAAATGGGCAGGGGAGGAAAGCCCAGACATAGGGAACGGGTTCCCAGGCCAGCCCCAGGTTCCTCCAGCTGATGTGGGAGCTTCTTCCATCCCCACATCCAGGTGGCTGCTGCCTCAGCTCCCCTGAGCCGCGGTTTGCAGCCTATGGGCTGGGAAAGGGTGGTCCTGGGCACATCAGCCCCACAGACATGTAGGGCTCGGGAGCCTCTCAAACCACTCTGTTTCCCCCAAGACCGGCACAGGTTGGAGAGCATGCTGAGCAGTGCCCAGGCAGCACGGGCCCTGCAGAAGGAGGCGCTCCAGAGTCTGGAGGCTAAGAACCTGGCAAGCACACGGTCTGCAAGCCAGGAGAGGCGGAGGCTGCAGGTGGGACAGGTGATAGGGTGGGGAACCGGGATGGGGGCCACAGGGCAGGGAGGTGAGGGTGCTGTGGAGGGTTCTGGGTAGGAACAGGGATGAACTGAGGGGTCCCCATGGGCATGGGTGCAGGCAGACTACAGGTCATCAGAACATGGGTCTTGGGCCCATCCCTGGTCTTTGAGATGATCCTAGTCCTTATTTTACAAATTGGGGAAACTAAGGTCTTGGCCCTGGGAGCCCAGCCGGCAAGGGGCAGATAGGGACAGAAAGGGGCCAGACCCTGTCCTTCCAGGCTTGTCCTTTCCTCTGTGGTCACATCAGCAGACATGGGTAGGCCCTGCCCAGCCTGCCAGCACCTCATGGGTCACACTTCTGCTACTTCAGGGCAGCTTTTCCTACTGTATCACTCCCACTCAGAAGGGTTTGTGTGCGACTCAGGGAACTCAGGGAAAACAAATTACATGCCGGGTGCTACGCTGTGAGGGTGGCCACTGGGCCTGAAGTTTCAAGTGAGGACCTGCGGTCTGGAGAAGGAGCAGCCAGGCCTGTATAACAGAGGCTGGCCGCTGCCTCCCTCTTCCCCTCTCAGGGAGCAGGTATCCTAGAGTGGAAGCAATGCCAGAGGTGCTAAGATTTCCCTAGGCAGGGCTCATGAGGGTAGCATGCCTGGCCCAGCTAGCACAGGCTTCCTGGAAGACCACCCCAGGTGTCAGGAAACCAAGGCCCCTGGACCCATTGCTGGAAAGTGGAAGTTTGTAGCCCTGTATGGTTATGGAATGGTGGGGCACAAGCTGCAGGTCACCCTTTCCAAGTTTTCCTCCAAGCAGGGAACCCCAGTTGAGCTGCTGGGCAAGGATGGCCTTGCAGGTTTTTGGAGGTGATGGGCCAGGCATGTGACCCCACGGGGGGCCACTTCCAGGCCTTGGCCTCAAAAGTAAGCCCAAAAGCCAAACTGTGCTCATCAGCCCCCACCCAAGCCTGCACCCACTCTGGCTCCATGCAGGTCTTGCCTTCAGCACACAGCCAGGCAGGCCGCAGAGGCTTGGGCCTCTGAGAAGACCCTCTTGCAGGGGAGGGGAGAAGGTGCACAGAACAGAGGCCAGACTACTGACAGCAAGTTCCTCATCTACCAGGCTTGTGAGAGGAAGGGAATTTCTGTTTCAGAAAGAACCCTCTGGCCACAGCTGCCAGGGCCAGAAGGTGTGGAGAGCCATGGAAGGGCCCAGGTGGCCTGGATGAGGATGGTAGCAAGACTGGAAAGGTGCCCAAGAGATGTGGGGATCTGGGATCTGGGAAGTCAGGGACTGAACTACACTGAGTTCTGTTTTATACATATGTTCACCTGTGTGCCTTCCATGTTCCACTGAAAGTGGAATATTGTTTTCATGTTACACAGGTTGAAATAGACCTTTTAAATCAACATTTGCAAATGCACCATTTAAATATTGTACATCTACTGTGTCTCCTGAATTTATCAAAGCTAGGAGCGATGTGTTGAGTTTTTCCACTAAGATTCTTTTTGTCAACATCTCCTTCTGTTTCTAAGGGTCTTTGGCTTACAGATTCTATGGCATGCTCTTCGGAATGTGAAGTTTCTCTGTGATGCTTGCCAGTGCAGAATGGTCTCGGGTCCTGTTAAACTCTTTGCCTTCAGTGCCGCCTGGCCCAAAGCTGACTGCAGGATCCCCGCCCCCTCCTCGACATCTCCTCATGTCAGCTTCTGCACTTTTGTCCTTTGTTTTCCAGCCTTCATTCCATCTGCCTGACTTCAGTTTAAGTCCACATGAGATTCTGCCTTTTCTAGGAGAATTGACCCCACTTCCAAGTTTTGTGACCATAAAGTGTAGCTTCCCCTCTGACCAGAGACAATTCTCACTTCTTTTGTGCTTCCTCGCTGTTGCTGTTCGTCCTGTCTCCCCCATCTGCTTTCAAGACTTGGTCACTCCCTATCTCGGTCACTTCTTGGGGACCATGGATGTTACAACCTGCTTGGAGCACTTTTTCTAATTTACGGTGAGAAGGGTGACTACATCGTGTGACCATGCTCAGAGGTCCTCCCACTACTGGCCAGGGCCACTTCCTGTCTCCCCCCCTTCCCCAGGGGTAGAGGGCCTTGTTGCTTCCCTCCCTGACCTGGGGGCCAAAGGCTGTGCTCCTAGGAGAACTACCTCCTGACCTGCCCAGGAGGCTCTCTGGCCCCATGCCCACCCCTTTCCCCCACATCCATGGCTTTGGACTTTTTCTCCACCCACAGCAGCCCACACTTGGCAAAGAAGTTTTTGATTGCTGTGCAGCAAAATCAACACAAGCTGATGGCTTGGCCTCATCCAGAGCTCCCAGTGCAACCTTAGAAGCAACACAGCCCCTGGGTCTGTCCCAGGTCTCACATTTGGAAATCAGCTGGCACCATCCTCAACTGAGACTCTGGGAAAGACCCCTCTCCATAAGAGTGGTAACATAGTCCAGCTCCTTGTGGTTCTGGGACTGAGGTTCTGTTTTCTGGCTGTCAGCTAAGCACCACTCAGCTCCTAGGGTTGACTCCCAGAAACCAGCCCTGGACCTTCTCTCTGGCTGGCCGCTCAAGCCAGTCCCTGCACACCTCCCACCTCAGTGCTTCCTCTTCCACCACCAACTTAAAGTGCCCGTGTGACTAGATGAGGCCACCAGGATCTCCTCCCTCTAACATGGTCGCAGCTTAGCATCAAGACACATGGTGCAGGCCCTATCAGAACCTCCCTGGCACGTGGCTTCTGCAGAATCAGACGTTCAGCTGACATCTTCATGCCCACTGGTGGACACAGGCAGGTAGGCTGCCTTCCTTCTCTTGGAAGGGTTACCGTCCTGTTAGACTTGAGGCTCCTTGTTTGCCCTCTGACCTCCATCTCAGATGGTTCAAGAAATGTGAAGATTTTATGGGCTCTTTGGAATTTTCTAATCAGTGCTCTATACACAGTGGAAGCCAGAGGCCCATTTGTCTTCGAAATTCAGGAACATTGCCAAAATACTGATATGGTGTTCGCTCCTGCCCATCCATCTTGCCTGTTGTGGTGTGCCCTCCCCACTCGCAGAATCAAGTCTACCTCCCGCTTATAGGAGTTCATTCTACTTCAAAAACATCTCTTCCCCTTCCTCCTCTTCTTGGCTCTTTGTTCTAAATTCTGGGTGTCCTGGTACTGATCCCTGGTCTCAATCTTGTGTTTCTCCTTCTCAACACCATTTGCCCCAAGTCTGGAGAAAGCTCAGGGTTTTTCTCCTACTCAGCTAATCTGACTTTCCCTGCATCCTCTGCTGCTGCCCAAGTGTTTTTCTCAGTGTCCACTCTCTGGCCTTTGCCCATCTCACCTTGAAAACGTCAACTGCCACTTCTTGCAAAAACTCTCTTTTTACTTAGAGACCCCCAAGTCTGAATCCTCAGACTGCCCCCTCTTTTGTGATATTTTGCCTTGTGTATCTTTAAAGAGGGCATACTGGTCCTGTTCAAAGCAGGGGTGGGGAGGAGCCAGTGGGGACTTGATGTTCATTCCGGGTCATTGCAGGCCCCGAGGACCTCCCAGTCTATCACCCACAGTTACCTTCATGGGAACGTGGGGATTGAGCTGCCCTACCTGTGCCCTCATCTTTCCAAACCAGGCTCCTGGGGCACCACCTGGATACAGAGGGCCTCTCGGGGTATCACTCAGATCTCTCCACATTCACTTGTCTGCTCAATGTAGAATTTACTCACTTTTTTAGAGATGTATGCTAGGACCCATCGGTATTATGTTACTTACAATTCTGGCAAGTATCATTTAGGGGCCCTCAAGGTCCCTGGTCTGTACCTCCAGGAAGAGTTTCCCACTTTCTGAGATCTGTTGGTCATTGTGGTGGGCATCTGGGAAGGGGGTTCTACATCACCACTTCACTGGAGGACCCACACTTTTCACAGACAGCAAGACCAGGAAGAGAGCAAAGGGCCCAAGTGTTTCTAGCCAGCTGCAGGGCTGGGGAGGTGGTCACTTTCCCAGCTGCCTGATGCCCCCTCTCCACAGCAAGCTGGGTTAATTGCTGTGTCCTGGCCGGGCAGGCCTGGCACCCCTCCTGATTGTACTGAACCCAAGGCATATTCTAGAGAAAGCGCTGCATTTTATACAACTTCTTTCACTTTCATGGACTGATATTTTCCCCCCTGGTTCACATAAGCCAATGTGTTTGTCAAGAGAAAGTTAATTAAAAACATATTTTTCTAATTAAATGGTAGGCTGTGCTATGCAAACAGTACAACTCTTGTTTGAGAGCAAATCCCTCCCTGTTGCTAGGGATACCCTGGGAACCAGCAGAACAACAGCACACACAGGGCCACCCTGGGGACCCATAGAACAACACTGTACACAGGGCCACCCTGGGGACCCATAGAACAACAGGGCATAGTCAAGCCTACGGTGTGGGGCCAGCGTCAGGGCAGGGTGCAGGTCTGGCACACACCCAGCATTACCCACACATACCCTTCTCACGCCCCTTTGGGGAGGCTGCCAGGGTTGTTTGCGGACTGACGCTGGGTCATGGCTCCAGTGGCTCAGAAGGACCATCCTGAGGCTCCTGCCCAGGACTCATCCCTTCCCAGAACCCAAACCCGCCACGTCCAGCCCCACCAGCTCCTCAGTCCTGAATGTCAGCCTACTGCCTGCCCTCCTACTGTGCTCAATGGAGTGCAGCCCACGTGCCCTGCCTGCCCTTGGGGCCTGAGTCTGCCTGCCCCACACTATGGTTGTAGCTCTGCAGTTGGAATTGATTACTCACGTTTTGTCAAGAATGTTTGCAGCTGTAATTCCTTTATGGTGCCATATTTTCAGATCTCTTTGTGCTAAGAATTATCTCAGGTCGTAAAATGAATTCGTGAGCTTTTTGTGTCGCCTATCAGCTCAATGGTAGAAATTGCAAAGGAATTATTAGCTACTCTCGAAGGGTTAATTAATAGCTTCTGAACCTGACAGCCTAAGAAACATGCTTCTGTCTTTCTTCTGGTTCTTCTCAGGTCATTTTGTGGTGTAGGACTGAGGCACCCACCTTCCACTGCTGAGGACTCGCACACACGTCTGCTCAGCACTGTCTCATTTAGCACAGTCACACCTGTCTTACACACATAGTTGTGCTGTCACAAACAGGTCTCTGTCCCTGATGCTACAGGTTTGCTTCTCTTAATCTGCCTTGTTCACAGTCTGTCTGCTTTGCTGCTGTTTTCAAAGAATCAGCCGTATCCCTCCTCTCACTTTTGTCTAGTTTATTCATTCCATCTCGTCTCTGTTAAAATCCCTTTTCTTGTCCCCTTTGTTGTAATTTTTCTGATTTCTAAAGTGTGACAAGTAACTTGTTCATGTTCAGACATTCTCTTTCAATGAGCAGGACGTTTAATGTTACCTCCTTTTCCCTAACTGTGGTCTGATATGTGTCCCATAGGTTTTTGAAACAAATTCTTTTCCTTTTTTACCAATTTCCTAGGAATTCGGTTTTTAACTTCTCCTTAACACAAGGGCAATTGAGAAGAGTGTCTCATGTGCACCTCTGCTGCTCCTAGCCGGTCTCTCTGAGAGGCTGTGACTCTGGCGCTAAGGATGGCTTTCTTGATCATCTCCTGGATGGGTCTTTGTTTTTGTCCCAGGCTTGTCAGTTGCTCGCGGGTCAGATGCTTTTTGGTTTGATTTTGGCTGTTTGTCTGAGGTGTGTTTAGAGGGAACACACCTCAGACAATACGTTTGAGATCTTACAAGAAAATTTTGAGGGAGAATAGTAAAGCCGACTGTGGCCAGCATGGTCAGAGGGGAGGGCTGGTGCAGAGTGGACAAAGAGGCAAGTGAATAGGCAGAGTCCAGGGGTGGCCTGACTGCTGCGAACTGGCACCAGACTCTGTATCCCTGTGTGGACCACAGCATCTCACTGTGTAAAGCAAAGACTGGCCCCTTGCCTCTGAGGGGGACTGGCTCGCCCAAGGATAGGACAAGGTACTGCCCATGCTAGAAGACCAGGGTGGTACTTGCCAGTGGACAACTGAATTGGTCCATTGTCACCAGTGGATGAAGGCATCAGGCCAAGGACCTGAATTCCAAGGCCCAAGGGAAGATTTAGGGTGTTGATGGCCTGCTCTGTCCTTCCTCATGCTGCCAAAGCATGTCTGAGGACACCTCTGTCCCCTCTGCTGGAACTTGAGGCAGCTCCCAGCTTCTGCCTAGGGCAAATTCCACATAAGACCCTCACTTATAACATCCCCAGAGGGCATCTTACAGAGTTCACAGCATCCTCCCATTCTTCCTTGGTTCCCAACAAGAACCCAGTGAGACTGCATCACAACCATGTCAGGCACAGAAACCAAGACCCAAGCCCAGCTCCTCCCTGCTTGGGCTCCCTGACTGGCAGCAGCTGGAGCCCCTCTGCACCCTGGTGTTCAGCTCTGAGCTGGGGGAGAGGGGTAGATGTGCCTTACTTTTTCCTTCAGCCACTTAAACTTCAGACTGAACCCAGTACGCAAGCTGGATTGCCAACCTGTGTCTCATTCACTTCAGAATTTAGAGCCAAAGAGGCAGAAGCAGTGAAAGTCACTCAGCAAGTCCCACAGGTGTTCACCCAGGGCAAACCACGCAACCACTAAGAGCCACCCAGCAAGACTTGCATGATGTTCACACAGGGCACACCTTGCCACCATTAGAGCTGCCAGCAAGGTGTATGTGACACTCGCAGAGTGAACCATCCAGCCACTCGATCCATTCAGCAAGGCCCATGAGTGTTCACAGGAAGAACCACCCAACCACTAAACCATTCGGTCACCGTGGTTAATTTGGATTCCATGAAAGTCATCAGGTTTAGGAGGCTCGCTTCAGATAATTGGTCTGGGGTCTCTTAAAAGTACCATGAAATTTCTAAGCCACATCGTGAAGGAGACTTCTTTTCTACGGGAAAATGTGCACTGATAGAAAATTTTGATTTCAATAGGGTGTCCTGATGGGGGACTGTACTCGCTCTATCTGGATTTCCCTCCTCACTAGTCCTCTAATATCTGAGAGGCCAGTGGGCAGCTCTACCCACTCTGCCAGCACTACACTGGGCAGGCTGTGGCCAAGGCCTCCATGGAGCCTCCAGAGGGACCCAAAGCTGAGCTCTGCACCTGCACCCACATGTGCTCAGGCTGCCTCCCAGCCTCAGTTTATGGGGGAAGAGGGTCCCAGACAATGCCTGCCCTCCAACCCTGCCCTGGACCTTCAGGTCTATTTGTGAATCCCACATCACATTCTTCCTTCTTGCCTGAGTGCAAGCCAGGCCAGGCTCTTGTGTAGACAGCTGCAGTGGTTCAGGACTTTTGTCACCTCTCTGCCCTGCAGCAGGTGTGGTTCCTGACTTCTCCAAGTCCTTAGTCCCCAGAAGGAACTGGCCACTTCTCCCATGAAACATTCAGGAAGATTCAAAAACCAGAGACTCAGATCGCCGTGGGGAGCCAAGTTGTAGTCACAGGCGGGACCTCAAGTTTCCAACAGACTTGAGGGCTCTTACATGGATCCATAAGGGCTTTTGAGACCTTACTGACACTTTTGGGACTCAGGAGGCAGAACAAGCGTCGTCTCAGAACAGGGGTGATGGAGAGGAGGAGCCAGGGAAGAAGCTGACACTGTGGCATGTCAGTGTGGGAGAGTCAGCATAGCAGACAGAGGCCAGCATTGCAGGCAGAAATCAGCAAGGGCAAGGGCCCTGCGGCAGAAATGGCAGATGGCCCATGTGAGAGCAGGGCACAAAGCAAGGGGAGTTTGGCATAGGAAAAGGCGGTGAGCTGCCCGGTCAGTTCTTATCCTGAGGGCAGTGGGAGCCACAAGGCTCAGAGCAGGGAAGGGTCATAACCCAATGTTTAGGTGAATCATGCATGCAGGTTGTCATGGAAACAGGAAAACTGAGGGTCCACACAGTTATTAAAACAGACAGTGCTGGTTTGAAAGACTGAAGGCAGAACAGCTCGGAAAAGGGGATGGGGAAGTAGATGCAGGAAGAGGAAGGGCAAGAGTCAGAGCTGTGCCAGGCTCCTGGGCTCCCAAGTTCTGAATTGCCGGTGGGATAGCAAAAGTGTCCTCCTGGGCTGGGATTACAGAGTGGGGCAGGGCCAAGAGCTGAGGAAGGAGAACAGAGGTGCAAAGAGACTGAGGAGCAGGGGGCTTCTGAGCCTGGAGAGGGCTGCGATGGCTTTATTCCAAGGGCAGCAGGAGCCCCCAGGGACTGGACACAGGGGAGCAATGGCACAGATGTGTCTTCTGAAACCACTTTGACTGCAGCAGAGACCTATCAAGCCAGAGCCATTGCCCACACCAGGCCACCAAGGTTTGCTTTCGAGGCCCTCCTGTCACTTAGCCCGTGGTTCCTGGAGGCCTTCAGGTTACAAGTACATCACTTTGTCCTTGACAATATGCTTGCCTGTTTACATCCCAGGCGTACAGACCCGCAGGATAGTCTAGGCAGGTGCTCTGCCCCTCCACCTCAGTGTTTCCAGGTAGGCCCTGTGTTTCCCTCTCCCCAGGACCAACTGGACACACTGCACCAGGCCCTGGAGGAAAGCAGAAGGCACAGCCAGGGCCTGGCCAAGAAGGGGAGGCTCCTGGAGGAGCAGCTTGCTAGCCTGCAGCACAGGTGCCAGGAGGCTGAGGGGTCACTGGAGCCCCTGAAGCAGGTGAGGGTCCCCAGAGGGCAAGGCATGCTATCACCAGAAGGCAGTGAATCCAATTAGCAGGAAGAGACCTGAGTTCTTTTACCTAACCTGTCCTTTGGCCTGCAGGGAGGTGTAGGCAGATATGAAGATCTGCAGACACTCAAGCAGGACCTAATTCCCAGTTGACAGACAGGGAAACTGAGGCTGGAGCGGGTCCACAGGAGTCAGAGAGCTTGTTTTCTTGCTCCACAATAAGCACCCTATAACAGAGGGATCAACTGTGGACACACGACTTAGGAGAAAAAATAAGCTAAGCCTAGGACCAGCCTCAGACAGAATGCCCAGCTCTCAGAGGCCCTAGGCGGGCCCATCCATGGTCCACACTCAGCTTCTCCTGGCCCAGGTCCTCCGGAGGCAGCGCAGAGATCAGGCCGAGAGGCGGGCCCTGCGGGAGCAGACAACAGCACTGCGCACAGAGCGTGCTCGTCTGCAGGGGGAGCTCACAGCGCTGCATGCTCGCCTCAAGCAGGTACTTGGTGCAAGGTGGGGGCACTGCAGAGAGGGGGAGTTTCCACAGGAGGCAGGGTTGGCCCCTGCTGGCTTCAGTGTCTGCCCTTCACAGTGGGCCAGTCCCAAAGCCACTCAGCACCCTGTAGATGGCCACAGTCCCTCTGGTGGTGTCCTGGTGGGCCCTGCCTTGGCACTCTTTGGAGAGGCCCCATGGTTCATGGCAAATCCCCTGACTTTGTAGCCCTCTCTGCTGGCAGCTGTGTGACCTGGCACACCACCCACTCTCGGGCCTCAAGCGTGCTGCAGTTGCAGCAGGTGGGGTCAACTCATGTGCTGCTCCGCCATCCTGATCCATGGCCCTTCCCTTTCAAAGCTCCCGGGGACATACCCTCTGGGCTCTGGGTAGGGTCAGGTAGACAGGCAGGTGAAGGTGACACAGTGAGACCAGGAAAAGCTAGTGTTGCCCAGGGGTGTTAATGGTCATCACCCTGTTGGCCTCCCAACACAAGTCAGGGTGCATGGCAGAGTGTGTGTAGCCTGGTGGGCTGTCCCCTGCCCCTCCAACACCCAATCACAAACCACACTGGGGCACAGCACACCCATGCTGACTTGGCAGTCAGAGCTGGGCCAGGCCACAGCCACAGGGATCTGCGATCCTTACCAGCTCTCTCCAGGAGGGGGACCCGGGGCCCAGAGCAGGACAGGAACTCCAAAGAAGGCCACCAGAAGGGAGATGAGGGCGGAGTGGGTGGTAAGGGAGGGGGTGGGGGCAGGGGGGAGAAATGACCCAAGCATTGTATGCACATATGAATAAAACAAACAAACAAAAAAAAAGACACACACAAAAAAAAGAAGGGAGATGATACTTAGGAAAGGGGAGATAGTGTTTGCTGCGCTGACCAGTTGGTGTCCAACCACCTGACCCTTTGGGGCTCTGTGTCCCCCTGCAAAGTGAAGAAAGCACTGTTCTGGAGGTGCTGAGGGCTTGGCACAGACATGGGGCAGAGAAACCCTTCTCAAACCTGTCCACTGCCACACAGCCCAGCCTGCCTAGGGGACAGAGGCCAGCAGGTCAGTTCGGTGACAAAAGTCACCAGCCAGCTTTTCCACAAAAGGCCACTTTCCTTCCTTTGTGGGATGGGTTCAGCCACCAGAATCCTGTTGCTGTTCCTGAAGGCTGCACCTGGTCTCCATGGATGCTGTGGGGTGGAGGGTGGAGCACCTGCGACAGCAGAGAAAACCACGAGGATGCCCTGGGGTGCCCTGGGCTGGTGAGCCAGGCCCTCTGCTACAGCTGCTCCCCAGGGAGAGGATTCCTAGTCAGTTGTGTCCTCCAGAGAATTAGCCCCTAGGGCAAAAGGAGCCCCCCAACCTTCATGTGGAAAATGACTGCTTCCTACTATTTAACCTGCAGCCCGCCCCTACCCTATGCTCATGGTGGTGGGTGTAACTAAGATGAACTCTGTCCCTAGGAGGAGGGAGAGGGACAGAAGTGCTGCTGCCACTGACTTGCTGAGACAAGGTTCTGCCAGGGGCAACAGAGCCAGCTGTGGGCACTGTGCCCACCGTGGACCCTGGGGGCCTGGGTGGGGGAGGGCAGGAACAGCTAATGAGTTCCAGGAGGTCAGCTGTGAGGGATCCACAAACCCATAAACACTTTATTGGTGTCTCAGGAGGGGAAACCCGGATGTGGCCATTTATTTATTTTGGATTTCACTTTTCTCTTCTCTTTATAACATGCATTTCCAGGAGTGTAACTGGATTTTTTTTTTTAAAGAAACAGGACTCCTTTTCCAGTGGATGGGACTCTGTTTTTATTAGTCCTAAAGAAGAAAGGAGTCCTTATTTTTTTAAAGCTCGGGTCCTAACCTCATAACTTTGCCCAGGCAAACAGCCCACCATATCCCAGGGCTCCAGCCCCTCAGCAGAGAGAGCAGGTCTGTCCAGCACTGCAGGGAGGCTTCCTGGCACACTGATATGACACCAGCAAGGGGACCCACAGGGTGGGCAGAGCAGGAGAAGTGGAGGTGGACTGGCTGGAGAGCAGAAAGTGGTTCCCATCCTGCCTCTGTGCTGCTGGGCCTGGCGAAGCTGAAAGAAGGACCTCTTGGGGCACCATGAAGACGCCCGGAGGCTCCCCAGGCTGGGGGACAGGGCCCTCTGCTACAGCTGCTCCCCAGGGAAAGGATTCCTAGTTGGTTGGGTCGTCCAGATAATTATCACCAGACCGAAAGGAGCCCTCCAACCTTCGCCTGGAAAACAATTATTTCCTGATAGTTAACTTACAGCCCACTCTTACCCTATACCCATGATGGAGGGGATGGGTGACTAAGATGGGCTCTGCACTCTGGAGGATGGAGAGGGTGACAGTGATGCTGCTGTCACTGGCTAGTTAGGACTGCAGCACAGCTCCTGGGCTGTGTGTTTGTGAGGGTAACAGGCTGAGTATGCTGCAGAAGGCCACAAGGGTATGTGGGGAGCCCCAGGTTCAGGAGGCCTTGAGAAGCCCTGGGAGAGGAGGGGAACACCGTAGAAAAGACAGAGTCCCTTGCTGATCTTGAGTCAGATGGGGACTTGGTCCTATTCACCTTAGGCTCCCACTCTGGCCGCAGATGCTGGTAGAACTAGGCAGGAGTAGTGCCTTTGTGAACCCAACCAACTATTAAGGGGGACACAAAGTCCTTCCCAGAGGCACTCCTGCTCCCCACAGAAAGGCTAGCCTGACCTCACACTCATGCCAGGAGGCCACTAAATCCCACTGAAAGTCCTGAAGTTCTGTGTTTCCCCCATGTCTTACAGACGGAGCAGGAAACCTTGAGGAGGGAGGAGGATGCAGCCAGGCTAGGAGCCGAGAAGGAGCAGCTGGACCAGTCCCTGATCAGCCTACGACAGGAGGTGGCTGGGGCACTGAAGCAGAGCCAGCAGCTGCAGGTGAGCTGGGCCAGTGGAGTGCTGTGCTCCATGAACCTGGGGTGGGCTCCAGGTGGGTGTGGCCCCGGAGGGGTGGGCCCATGTGCCTGCCTCACACATGCATGTACATGTCACATATCTGTGCACACATGGGAAGGGCAGATGGATCAGCTGCTGTACATGATGGATGCAGAGACGAGACCAGATAACAGTGGGGGGGTTCTGCCAGAGGTCACAACCAGGTCCCAGCAGAGCTACAAACCAGGACCAAGGGCCTCTTGGGTCCCACCTGCTATCTTTCCAAGACCCCTGCCTTCCTGAGGCATTGAAGTCCTTTTAGGACTGGTAGAGGTCCTTATGATCCAGGCCTGGTTCTGCAGAGCAACACAAGGGACAGAAGATGGGAACCTGGCAGGCCTGGAAAACAGAACTCACACATTCCCCCAGGCCCAGGGCCCGACACCCACATGTGATCCTAAACAGCTTCAATCTCTCCTTCCACCACTGGACCCCCTCCCAAGTCAAGAACTGCTGTGGTTGGTGTGCAACCATGGATCTTCAATGCCCTCAGGACTCTCAGCTTGGCCACGGGGAAACTGGGGTACTACAGAGTTAGGTCCCACCCTAGAGACCTGTCGCTTAGCCTAGCTAAGCGCTGAGCAGGCAGCTTGGACCCAAGACCCGTGGGCTGAATGTGTGCACTGACCCCAGGTCTGCTGCATATCCTGGGCTAGGGTCAGCACCCAGCAGAGGGCAAAGGGTCCAACACAGGAATGGTAGCTCTAATGTCAGGATGGGAAACCCCACTGGATCCAGGTTCTGGTAGCCCTCAGGCGAGCACACAGCAATAAGGTACTGTCTTCTCACTTCAGGCCCAGATGGCAGAGCTGGAGCAGGCACACGCCCAGCGACTCCGTGAGCTGGCTGCCCAGCACCAGCAGGACTTGGTTGCAGAAACCGAGAGGCTGCACGGGGCCCAGCTGCAGGCCACACGGGCCCTGGAGTCCCGTGAGCGGACCCACCAGCGGCGGGTTAAAGTGCTGGAGGAGAAGGTAAGTTGAGGACCCCAGCCCCTGGGTGGGGCCGTTCTAGGGGAGGAGAGGCTTCTTGCCCTGCACGGTGACCACATGGCCTGTGCTCGCAGGCCTCCAGCTCCCAGCATTCTCTGCTGACCTCAGAGCCAAAACCCTCATTTTACAGTCAAGGAAACTGAGACCCAGAGAGGTGAAGTGAACAGCCTAGCATCATCTCTAAGTTACAGTCCTTGGCCCACCAGCCACGCTTGCTCAGTTTATAAGCCAAGGAACACTTATGTTCCCATCCTTCTGAGCACTTTCCTGGCCTGGACAGAGGCGGCTACTGTAAGCAGGAAGTTGCGTCTGTCCACAGGATGGGTGTTCATGACACTATACCCTCTCTTGTTTCTGGCGACTCTTTCTGTTCATCCATTTGAGATTTCTCTCCCATGAACACCCCTCTCCCCTCAGGAGCCATGTAATGCAGTCTCCCAGCCCTTTCTGACAGCTCTCCAGGACAAGTCCTGTGGTCCCAGGGCTTGTCCTCCCCACCTGACTAAACCCCTACCCTATCCCAGGTTGCCAGACTAAAGGAGCAGCTGGACCAGGAAGTACAGCGGCAGCAACAGGCCCACCTCTGCCAGGCCTTCCAGGCCAGGCAATGAGCCCCACCGCCAGCCACTCGGCCAGCCTGTTTGCCTCCAACCCTGACTGGCTAGAGCAGCAGGCTCCAGGCAGAGCTGCCAAGGGCCCCAGGCTGCCGAAAACTGGTGCTGGTCACACTGCACTAGAGGAGCCAAGCTCAGCCGGGTGAGCATGGTGTTGCCAGGAGCACTCGCTCCCTGGTCCTACAGCAGCAGGTACACGGCCCATGGGACCTCTGCCTCCTCCGGCTGGGCTGCACTCCTCTATGATCCCCTTTCGGCTGTGGGAAGGAGCGTCAGCACCTCCTCAGCCCACACTGGGCCTGGTGCTCCGTTTCCGGTTTGGATGTACTACCTTGGCTAGATTCCGATGGCCAGTCCCCGTCAGATCAGCTCCCTCGGCCACAGACTGCATTCCGTGCCCTCAGCTCCGGAAACACGGGGAAACACGTGGAAAACATTTCCACCAACCGGAGCCAAAAACACAATGTCCTGCAAGGCCAGCCACCACACCCCATGTCCAGACGCGCAGAACCTCCCGCATCCAGGAACTGCAGGCCCGTCACAGTGGCAGGTGGCTGGAAATGACTCAGATGCAAGCCCCGTGACTCACTGGCCATGAGGGGCATTGGAGTGTGAGATCTGAAGTTGTTCCAGAGTCTCCGCTTTCCCAGCCTGCAGACGCTGGGAAAATGCCTGTGGGAATCCTGCCCTGATTGCTGCAGAGGCCACGGCTGCCATCTTGCCAGGGCCTGCTATATGGCTCACCTGTTGGCTTTGCTACTCCTTCCCACATTAGCCCTGGTCAGAATGATTTGTCTTCCTCTCCAAATGGCCCCCTTTGAGTTGTTCGTGGTGCATTTCCAGTATCTCTTGGGCACCAGTCAGCCGGTACACTATGTGGTAACGGCTACCTCTCAGGCACCCTGGAACACCCTCAAGGAGTCTGATACCAGACAGGAAGGAGCAAAATTTTATGGAGTCTGTCCAGTCCCAGTCACTGCAACAATGGCTCAGATGTGTGACAGCCCCTGCTACTTCAAGATCAGTAAGGACTTAAATAGGTCATCCTGTTCGTCCTGGTTTCTGGTTGAATTTAGAAGCATGAGATTACCCCATATCGTAGATCCTACCAGATCAAGGTGGGCAGACAGGCTTCATTCTTCCTGCCCACTCCACCTGATGGCTCGTGGTGGTAAAAGGATCTGATAGTTCTGCCAGGCTCTGAGGGGAGGAGCATAGAGACCCATCAGCAATGATTGCTCTCGGTAAAGAAGGAGTTGGTGATGTCATAGATACGCTGTTATGCACCCCCTACAATGGCCAGATACTGACTAACAGTGCGCCCAGTGGAAAGCAGGTAGCCTGGCCCACCGTGCAAGCTCAGATCCTAGCACTTTGCAGACAGCCCCACCCCCCACCCCTGCTTCCCTCCCTAGTTTTCAGGTTCCTTGTGGAGGATCCTTCACATTGCGCTCTTGCAGAGGGACCTGTGCAGCCCAGTGGGGGATAGGGAGGAGGGAACCAAAATTTAGAAACTTCCCCTGGGAGACAAAGGCTGGTCAGCCCCTCCAGCCCTCCTTTGGGGAGCCCTGTGTGGCCCAGTGTGCAGTATCAATGCCTTCCTCTCTACACCCCAGGGTCCACCAATGGGACTGAAGCTCCCAGCAAAGCCTGGCAGAAAAGCCTGGAGGAGTGGAGTGAGTAGGGTCGAACTTCAGTTGTAAGAGGGCAGTATATTTCTCAGTGTCAAAATGAAAGCTGCTGTAATCTGACCGACTTGTTCACTAGCAATTTTGGGAACCTCCTTAACGTGGACGCTCATAGTGAGCATTTGAAGTACCCATGAGGCCTCTGACATTTTCCTATTTTAAGAAATAATTAAATCAGTGTAGGAGATACTGGTTTTACTTATTCAACATAAAGGTTTATATTTAGGAAGCAATTTCTTTGAAATATATTGGTATTTTCCTAAACATTTCCAGCGCTATATAAGCCTCTGTGTGTGTTAGAGTCTAGCCAGTGACTGTGCTAGGGGACTTGGAGACCCCCGCATCAGGTCTTTGGGCATTGGTTATCAGGTGAGGAAGCCTTTTGTGTGGACCAAAGCCACATGACTGTGGGCAGGAGATGGGTCAGGCCGGGGACTCCACAGCCCAGGCCACAGCTCACTCCACACTGGCTCTGCCCCACCCTCTCTGTCCAACCAGTGGTAGGCCCAGTCCTGCAAGCTGGAGGACAGAAGTGTGCCCCTATGTGGAGGTGAGGAGGAGACAGAGGAGGGGTTGGGTTAGGCTATCTCGGTCATGCAGGTGGGAGAAGGGGGCTGACCTCTTGCTCTGTGTCCTCGCTAGAGTCTGAGAGGAAAGGCCATGAAGGTCCTGCAGCAACTTGCTTCCAGGGTGGGAACACCCAGCTCTGCTCCCTAGAGTTCAGGAGAAGGCCCACAGCTTCCTCCCTTGGCTTACCCAGAGTCTGGTCCCTGGCCTCTCTAAAAGGCCCAGTGGATCCTAGGGTCCACTTGAGAGCTGTCACCTCAAATGAGTCTCAACTCTGCCCCTCAGCTGTGTGACCTGGCCAGGCTCTGTAGATGTCTGTGAGAACTTGGAGGAGGCCCTCAGGCCTGGACTTTGCAGGGGACCAACCCCTTCAGGGCACCCCACGGAACCTGAAGTTACTCATGAGTTTGTTAAGCCATCCTGGGTCCCCACCTGTGGATCCTTGGGTAGCCTCAGAGGCCTCCACAAGTCAATCTCTGCTTCACTGCCCACCCTTCCTGTGGACACGCAGGGAGATGGATGAGACTACTCTGAGGAATGGAGTTCTCATTTCTGCAAGGGCAGGGAGAGCCCTGCCTGAGCCTACCTGCACCAACACTCTGGTTCCCCTCCATTTTCACTAAATAAAGCAACAGTGGTCATCTTGGGAAGTACATACACAGTCCCACCTGGTCATTTCCCCTAGATCAAAAGGTAGAGTCCCCATCCTGGGTATCAAGATGGATGGACAGGTTCCCTCCCTTCTCTGCCTCAGTGGGCCAGCTGCACCCAGGTCCCGCTCAGCTTCACAGGGCAGTACCATGAGGTGGACTGGGGAGCCCCCCAACAGGAACTGGGCTCTACCTGCCCCAGGCCCTGTGATCTCCCTAGCCTCATCCTGAAATTGATGGAGGTTTACTGGGGGCTGGGGCTTCTAGTTGCACTCACATGGTGGGACCATCCGGGGGTGAAGGGGAAACTGTGCTCTGCCAGCCACCTCTGAAAGGGAAGGAGAAAATGTAGGGCTACAGCTCACTTCCTGCCTCTGTGGGAGCAACCAACTAGCCCCAGCCCCCTCTCCCACCTACACATAAGCAAGGGAAAGTGCCCCCACCTGACCTTCATGGACCCCCAGTCCTGGGTGTATTGTGGGTGGCTCTGGGGCTCCCCCAGTTACACTGCACACATGCTCAGGCCCTAAATTAAAGTGTCACGGGCCTGTGGGGGGCTCGGGTTTCCTGCCGCAGAACATGAGCCTGCTTGATAAAATGATTTGGGTTTTGATAAATGTGGATTTTCTGTGGCAGAGACAAAGGCGCTCTTGAGTCCGGAGGGGAACCTAAAACAGCACATTGCTGAAAAGTATTTCCTGATAATATTTTTAGCACCTGAAAAAAAAATTTTTTTTCTCTCCTTTTTTGCCTGTAGAGTTGTGGGTTTGTTTTTTTTTTTTATTAATGAAATGTAATGCCCAGCAGCAGTGGGGTCTTGTGTTAACCCCCAGTGTCCCAGACCTAGCTAAAAATCTGCACAAGGGGTAGGCCGAGGATGGTCAGCAAGGCCAGGGTGGAGGTGGGCACAGTCGCTCCTGGGGAGAGATTCCTGGGTAGAGATTGGATGGTCTGGCCTGCTGCTGGCCCTGCTTGCAAGCACAACTCTGAGATGGACCTGGGCTCAGGCATTCCCCACAGCTACTCAGGGGATTCCACTGAGTGGTGGTCAGGACCCCTGTCCAGGCCCACCACTCTACTACACCTGGCAAGCAGTCTTTACTCAATGCATCTAGCAATAGGTTGGGCCCTGGGGCAGCCCCAGCCCCTGAGGTCCCAGGTACACCCTAACACATTCCAGAACGGGCATTAGAGGACAGAGCAGGAGTGGGGAGAAAATGGGATAGAGATGTGGCAGGAGAGGGTAGAGGGCAGTACTGAAGCCACCTGCCTCATCTTCAGCAGGGAGTCCTGAGGGGCAGGGAGGGTTATGGTGCTGCTGCCTGCCCTTCAACCTGGAAAAACCAGTAACTAAGGAGACCAGGGCTTCCCAGCCAGCACTGCCCACTGCCAAGAGGGTAGAGGCTGCTAGCTTTTCATTAAAAAAAAAAAGGCCAGACTGTCCTCTTGGGTCCTAGCATAGTGGTTAGGCATTCTGGCAGCTCTGTCCTTGAGGCTGCCCTATTCGGCTTCATCCGGACCCCCACCTGGCCTTTACAGTGATGTGGAGAGGAGCACACCATAGTGGTGCTGCTATCCTGGGATCTCAGAGCCAGGACTGTGACCCCAGGAATGATCCTCCCATAGGTAACTGTGGGGCAGAGCTCTTCACTACACCCCAGCCTTGGTTTACTGATATCAAAGGGGTAGAGAGGAAGGGGGTGAAGGGAAGGCAAGGCAAGCTATGTGCCAGGCGCCCCTTTCAGGGTCCTACTGGAGCAGGAATGGCCAATAGTGTCCAACTCCTTATATCCCACTCTTGGCTCTGACACCTAGGCTAAAAGGTTGGAACCACTGGAAGAAGGCTGAGCTGCCAAGCACAGGACCTGTGTGAGCCAAGAACACCCCCCCCCTCAACACACACACACACACACACAGTGTGACACACAGAGAATCCTCCCCATGTACCTTAAAAATAGCATTTAATGTTTTTCCTCCAACTGCAAAACACAGGTGCTCATTGGACACGTTTTATAAAATAAAGCACAAAGCCAAACATAAAACTACCCAGAGGTGCTGTTACTGTCCTGGCCTTTTTTGTTCCTCTTTCAAAAGTGCACTCTTGTCGTTGGGAGTCCCAGGCTTGGGTTGTAGTCAGGATGTGAGAAAAGACAGGAGGTGGGGACTGAGGCCCCAGGAGCCCTGGCCCTGAAGTGGGCCTGGGGACATAGAGGTGGGGACACCTTGCAATGTCCAAGGTGAGTAGTGCAAGAGTCCAAGAGTCAAGAAGGGCTGAGATAGTCACAGGCTATAGGCACTGAACTCACATTGTGACACTTGGGGTCCTGTACCCTCCTGCCAGGCCCAGAAGCAACTATCCACTTGTCCCCAGGCTGCAATGACAAGTCTCCCTCACAGAGGGTCTGCCCTATTTGGGAGTCTGCCCAGGCATTCTCCATGTGATGGGTCTCTGAACCATCAGAAAACCTCCTGAGAAATGTCCCCCGATGTGGTTACACAAGGCAGAAGCTAGTTAGCGCCTTAGGTCTCCCAGGCCGAGGATTCATCCTCACAAGGAGCCACACAGGGACTACACTCTTCTGCCCTAGGCTAGGACTGGAGTGGGTTCATCCAAGCACTGGTAGGCCAGATGGTCCCCACTGACGCTTCACTGGGGCTGTGACTGGGTCCACTGGCCAGATAGGGACTCCAGAAGGCACCCAGGACGCCTGTCCACCAGGTTCAACATCTCGCGTAGGATTTAGGAAAACGGGTTAGCCCCAGAATTGCTCTGCAGCCTAGGTACCTCCTCTGAAGTGGCCCCAGGCTGGCAGTTGGGGATCTGCAGAGGAGGACGCCAAGCCCTCACCTCGCCAAATGCCCAGGGCAGGGTAGCTCTAGGGACGTGAGGTCTCCAGGCTGGGGCTCCTGGTGGAGCTTGACCAGCACCATTACAAGAACACAGGGGCGCGGGCCGGCGTGCCCCAGCCCTCCCGCGGGGCCTGGTGCTTTAAGATGCTAATTTGCATGGCCCCGCCCCGCCCCGCCCCGCCCGAGTGGCCGCGCGGGCCATCTATTTAAACCTCGGCCCCAGGGGCGGGCCGGCCCGTCCGCGGTCCCGCCCGGCGCCTTCCTCCGCAGAGCAGCGGCCCGAGCGCAGCGCGGCGCGGCGGAGCGGACGCGGGGTGCGGCGCCCACCGACGGTGCGGTCCGCAGGCTCCAGGCGCACTCCGTCCGCCTGGCCCTCCGGGTCACTCTGGCCGCAGCTTCAACCCTGCACGGTCACCTGACGGAGCCCCGCGGGGGCTGCGCGTCCCGCTGCGTCCCCCGCAGACCCCGGCGATGCCGCGCGGCGCTGCCTGGGCGCTGCTGCTGGCCGCGGCCCTGGGACTCGGGGCGCGCCGAGTGCGCGGTGCAGTGGCCCTCGCCGACTTTTACCCGTTCGGCGCGGAGCGCGGCGACGCCGTCACCCCCAAGCAGGACGACGGCGGCTCGGGGCTGCAGCCCCTGTCGGTGCCCTTCCCGTTCTTCGGTGCCGAGCACTCCGCACTCTACGTGAGTAACCCCGAGCTCGCGGGGGTTCCGGGGAGGGCGCAGCGCCCCGGCCGCTGCCCGCCGCTGGGACTCGCGCCGCCGCCGCCAGCAACTTGGCACCGCGGCGGCCAGAGGTGGAATAAGGACAGCGCTAACTCCCTCCGGCGGCCAAGGCCGGACAGCGGCCCGCGGAGAGAGGCGCGGCAGGGCGGGGCGAGCAGCAGCCCGGGCACCTTGGCGACAGCCAGCCGAGTGGGGCACGCCCCTGCCACTCGCTGCCCGTCGTGCTCGGGCCTTTGGTGGCATGCGCCTTGCTGGCCCCCAGCACTGAGTGGACATTCTGGTCCCTACCCTGGTTCCTTCGAAGACAGCGATGTGGCAGTGGGTGCATGGCTTCTGGCCTCGGTTTTGCGAGTGGGGCACCCGGCTTACGAAGGTCTCAGCCCCGCCCCTGGGCCATTTCAGCCTCGCCCCTAGATACCCTAGGCCCAGCGCCAGGAGGCTGTGACCCTCACCTGGACAGGGCTGGCAGCTGGGGCAGTGTGGATGGGCTCTCCACTGGAGCTCTCTGAGCCCTGTTTCCTATGCTCTCCCCTCCTGCCTCTGGAGGCTGGCCACCCAGGTTTGACCCTCCAGATAGAGCTCCCAGAGGGAGCTTCTGGGGACTGAATAGCTGGGACTGAAAGACCAGGCCTGAGTACCAGTTCTGTCTCCACATTCCCAGAGTGTGACCCTGAGCCAGTTACTTGTGGGCCACCCAGGGGATGATGTGTGGTGAAGCAACAATGGCTGTGTACTGGTGTCTGACCATTTCTTGGATCTCCCAAATCATTCTAGAAACTGCTGCTCTAACCTGGTCTGTGGTTACCCCAACATCTCCTCACACAACCACTGCCACATCCAACACCATCACCCACCACCCTTATCATCAGCTCTACAATCTGGCATTAGCTCCACCACCTCTGCCACTAATGCTGCCATGAGTAACACGTCTTGCACTGTCACCTCCCCCATCAGCACTGCCTCTTTCAGCTCTGCCACCATCCTTGCCCCATCTTGAACACTACCTCTATCACCAGCCCCATGTCCGGCACTGTTGTTAATTCCTGACCACTAGAGTCCACAGGTGTTTCCACCACCAGCACAACCTCCAACACCCCTGCACCCTACAGCCACCAGCATCACCCACACCATCTGCCATGGTGGTCAGTTCACAGCCTGGCATCTGGTTCCATGTGCCCTCAGGCAGGGTGGGAGGAGTCCCACCTTGATGGCAGTGTCTGGTGATGTGACAGTGGTGACAGCCTTTCTCTGTAGATGCCACCTCTGAAAGTACCTCTGGGGCAGGACATGACTGAGCAGCAGGGGGGACTCCAAGAAGTATGAAGTGAGCAGACAGAGCTGCTCAGGGTTCAGGGTCTGCCGGGCAGAAGAGGCCTGCCCATTTTAGGAATGGGAAAACCCTCATTGAAACCATCCTAACAGAACTCTGTCTAAATGTTCTTTAAGCATGTGGGCCAGGCTCAACTTCCCCACTCAAAAGTCACAGGTGAAAATATTATTAAAATGGTTGCTCCTCTTAACAGCCTCACCAAAAACAGTCACCCTTGCCAAAACAACAGGAGATGTGGTTCTAAAGTGGAAAGATCTGCTAGCAAAACATAGGGTTTCATCAGAAAGGAACCTCTGGCTGCTAGCAAAACATGCATCTCCACAAGAGCTTCTTCCAGAAACATGGATATTATTTGAAAAACACTTGCCAGTGTGGACATAGTGTGTGCAACACACTTCATCTTTCCATTTGCTCAGTAGGAAAGGAAGTGGAATTCTTTAGGGAGCCACACCCAGAACACCTGGCCTGAAATAGCTCTGGGGGTTCTATAGCCAGGGAGAGACAAAAGAGGGGCAGGCTAGGGTCAAGGCCAGAGGGAGAGAAAGGAGGCACTGACTCCTGAACAAGAAGCCTGACTGGGTGCCACCCCCCTCCACCCGCCCAGGCCAAGAGAACCCTTTCCTGGATGTCCCTGCTGTGGCCCTCATCCAGCTCCACATAGTCAGTGAGGCACATAGTCAGTGTTGGCAGCCCTCCTCTGCTCCCAGCTCATGGGTTGGCTAAGAGTAGGCTTGTTGCATGAATGAGTGAACAAAAGAATGAAAGCCTCCTCCCTCCGCAATGGCTACATGTCACAGTGAAAATGAAAAGTGCCCTGCATGAGATAGGTGCTTCTTGAGTCTTCATCAGGAAAGCACACAGCTATGGCCCCAACGGGACAGCTCTGCCTCACGTGGGGCTCACTGTGTACAAAGGACCCATCCTTTTGCTTCTTTCTTGTGTCATAGTTGCTGAACCTGGCAAGTCGTCAGGCACTGAAATTGTTGAGCACATCTTATTGCTAAGGATGATAATACTGGGGACATGGAGTACTGCCCAACACCCTGCCCAGAGGGAATCTTACTGACAAGTTCTGGGTAAAGATGGAAGCTGTGCTGTGGCCCGTGAGACCTGTGGAGGTGGAATGGTCCCCTCAGGCAGGTGTGGGCAGTGAGACAGAATCCATGTTTCTTCTCGGGAACTGAAGCCCCCAGCTGCAGTCCCAACTAGGGGGTGTCCTGAGAGCCACACAGGAAAATCTTGGTTTATTTGGCATCAAATACCCTGACTGTGGTCTTGGGTAGCATGTCACCTCTCAGCTCATGCCCCTTCATTGCTGGGAAGGGGATGTCAGGCGAGTGACGAGTGCTGGGCCCTCAAACATGGTAATATCCCCTCTACCTTCTTTGTCTTTTGGAAAATTTTGGGACCAACCCAAGAAATATAGAGCCCTGAGTGGGAAATAGGAAGGACTTGGGGGTCCAGGATGTGCACTGTCCCTGAAGAACCAACAGACAAAAAGGGAGGTTGACACAACTTGACCTCGAACTCTTGGTAAGCCAATACCTCAGCTTTGCCCTGAGGCAAAGCTTGACTCCATACCATCTGCTCAGCCTGCACTGCCCTTCCCATCCTGGGAACACGGTCTTAACTTTGTCTTTCCCAGACATCAGCTACTCTGTCTGGTGTCATCACTCAGTAGGCAGCTTGTGACCATTGGCCAGTTATTTCTTCCATGAGCCTCAGTTTAACCATCCACGAAGACTAGGCAGTGATTTCTCCCCAGTGTCTGCTGTGAGATCTGTCTGCACTCAGTCCTTGGTCCCAGTGGGTTGTCCTTGTCGATCAGGGCAGATTTACCAGATAACCAGAGCTGTTGGCCAGGCTGTTGTCACAGTGATGGTTAAACATATGTCATGGTGCCACAGGCACAGTTGCATGAGGGAACTGGACTCAGGAAAGTGGTATTGGGCTGGAGTTGATGAGGATGCTGGAGTGAACTCAGGGACCTCTGGACTCTAGTGTCCAGCTGCCTCTCTACTGGGCTATCCCAGATTTAGTGGGATCCCAAAAGAAGGCCTGCCTCCTCCCTGGAGCACTTTCTAGCACCTGCACAGTCACCTCACTTGGCTCTGCCCTCACCTCAGCAACTCATTTATCTTCTTGACTAGGAATTGCACCCCTCACAGCCAGGGACCTTGAGGGGGTGCGTGTAAGAGTGGGTACATTATATACAACTGCAGCCTGTGCAGGGCAGACATGACTTGTTGTCCGGGTTCCCTGTGAAATCTTCAGCGAATTCTCAACTGCACCTGAGGGTTGTGGCCTTGATTCTATTTCTGGTAAATGCAAAACTATCTGGGATTGGTCTTTTTTTTTTTTTTTAATCCAGTTTGGCAGTATCTTCTTTTTAATTGGAGTGTTTACACCATTTACATTTAGTGTGATTACCGCTGTGGTTGGGTTTTAACCTGCTTGCTTTCTATTTATAGTCATTCTTTAGATTTACTTCTTTGGGAAGTTTTTAAATGATTTCATGTTACTGTACTATTGGCTTAGTAGCATACCTCTTTCTCTTATTCAGTAGTGATTGTTCTAGGTTTAAAATACATTTTAACTGTGCATAGTCTACCTTCAAGTAATATTATCCTCTTTCAAATACAGTGTAAAAACTTTAGGATAGTATACATCTCCTTTCCCCCTCTGGCCTTCATGCTATTGTTATAATGTTACTTTCCATATGTTATAAACCCAGTGATACACTGTTGATACTTTTGTTGCAAACAGTCAGTTATGTAAAGAGATTTAACCATTAGAAAGTCCTTTAATTGCTCATATTTCTACTATTTTGTCTTCATTCCTAATGTAGACCTATATACACATTTTATGTCATCTCCTTCTGCTTGAAGGAGTCCCTGTACCGTTTCTTGTAATGCAAGCCTGCTGGACATTAATTATCTTATCTGAAAATCTCTTTATTCACTGTCATTGAAAGATATTTCTGCTGAAAGATATAAAAGCCTAGGTTGCCTATTGTCACTCTCATCTTTGTGTAATGTGAAAAGTGACTTTTTTCCTCTGACTGCTCTCAAGGTTTCCTTTTTAGTAATTTGGTTCTTAGGTGCATTGTTGTGATACACACACACATATACACACACATACACACATACACACACACACACACACACTTTGGGATCATTAAGGTGTGACTTACTGTGGCCATTTCAAATATGTTTTCTACTGATCTTTGTTCCTCTCATGTGAAGACTCAGATTGAATGTACATCTGACTGTTTTGTGTTAGGTTGGAGTTGGACATATTTTAAACTTGTATGTATGTGTGTATATGCATATATGATATGGCAGATGGATTTACACATAGATATATGTGTGTGTATACATATGCATATGCAGTCATATCAGCAATTGGCCACAAATACAACTGTGGTCCCCTGAGTTTACAATGGAGCTGGGAACATCAAAGCCATGTCATGTCTTAGCATTATGTGTTACCTGTGCATTTGTGGAGATGCTGGTCCCGTAAAAGTATAGCACAACACAGCACTTGATAACAATAATGAGCCACTGTGTGCTGGTTTATGTCCCCCTGTACTATACTTTTAACTATGCTAGATGTGCTTTGTACTTAA